CAACTGCTCCCACACAAAGCCACTGAACTTCCAAAAGTCTAAGCACGTGTAGGAGAAGGGCCTTCTCCGTGGTGGCACCCAGACTATGAAACATGCTCCCCAGAGAGCTCCGCCTGGCGCCAACCCTCTACTCTTTTCGGCGCCAGGTAAAGACCATTTTATTTAACCTTCATTTTAAATTCACTCCCCAAAGAGGTCCGCCTGGCACCGTCGTTACTGGTTTTTCGGTGCCAGGTAAAGACCTTTTTATTTAAACATCATTTTAATTGTTAAAATATATGATCTAGCCAGGGCAACTTCTTCTTCCTTCTCCTTTCTCCTCCTATATTCTTTATTTACTTATTTTATACTGTTAATTTTTAATTTTATATTATTATGTTTGTATCTCAGTGTATTTTTTGTATTTTTGTATTTAGTGGTAATTTATTATGTTCTATTGTATTTCAATGTATTTTATTGTGTTGTAAGCCGCCCCGAGGCTTCGGCAAGGGGCGGCATAGAAATGTTATAATAATAATATTAATATTAATAATAATAATTTATTAATACTTCTAATTTGTTTGCAGTCGCATTTTTATTTTGTATTATTTTTATTAAGAGAGCATGTCCTGTGGAATGTTTTTATGTTATAATATTATATCATGTATTTTAGAGTTTTATTTGTGTAAGCTGTCCTGAGGCTTTCGCAAAGGACGGCACACAAATGTCTTAAATAAACAAATAGATAAATAGCAGGGCTGCAAGATCCAGTTCCCCCAATTTGAGAATGATTTTATCAGCGAGGCCTGCTGGGTGCTAACCCACTGTTTTATTTATTTATTATTATGTATTAAAAACTTTTGTATACCATCCTTTATATAAATAGCTCAGGACGGCTTACAGAAATTTAAAAGAATAATTTAAAACATCTAATAACATCCAATAACAAATTAAGACAGTAATACTGTATAAAACAATCAATAAACATCAAAAAAATCAGATTAAATCAAAACAAAACAAAGCAAAAGCAACTGGAAGAATCATTAAAACTATTGATTTTTAAAACACCACTTCAATAAAAAGGTTTTGACCTGGCACCAAAAAGTGTATAAGCTGTTTTCTTTTCAGCATCAGGATAAGCTTTTCTTCTCTATGGAATTCAAAGCATAAGAGGCCAGACTTTTAATCCAGTCCTCAATTTTTCTTATTGTCGATTTCAAATTGTTTTGAGGTGTGTGTGTGTTTCTTACATTTGCATGGGCAGGGTTTTTATAATGTTTTTCTGTAGGTTTTAATTGTTGCAAATGGCACAAGGAGCTTTGGTTATTGGGCAGGATAGAAATATAATAAACGAAGCAAATAAACAGAGGGACGTCCTTCTTTGCACGACACTTAATGAAACAGTGGAACTTCCTGCCACAAGATGTGTTAATGGCCACAACACAGGCAATTATAAAAGGGATGAGAGAAATTTGCAGGGGTCACTAGATAAAGCCACCGAACGGATGACCATGCATGTGCCGGCACGAGGTGGGCAACTCATGGCTAAGCAGCTGTTGTCTCCTTTCCGTTTCATCACAGAACTGAGCTCCAAGCACTACATAAAGATCGTTTCTGCTTTTCCACTACATAACCTCTAGGTGGCACTGTGCTGTGGCCAAATAGAGCAACTACCAAAGTAGAAAAGGCATTTCCTTTCACCTTTCACAATGACAGACCACTCTTTTCCGGTTTTAAAATAACACTGATCAAAAGTGCTCCAGGGACATAGAAGGAAAACTGGAGAGCCGAGGAAGCATGACAAGTACTCAGTAAACACTTCATATTTTTCCCAGGAATAACGGTGGAAAGCAGTATTGCCCAGAGAGGCCCTGTCTTTTGCTTCTCCTCTCTTTAGCATGAGTCAAGAGAATAGCAAGATCCCAAGCATCCTCTCTGTCCTGATGTGCTCCAGATGAGTTGGACCACAATTCCTATTATCCACCACCAACATGATAGGAGCTGTAGTCCGCTGTATCTAGAGGACCCCGGAGTGAGTCGGGCTGCGTTCAACAGGCAGGCGAAACAAGGATTCTCATTTGCAACCCTAATAAACTGCTCTGACCCCGCAAATTTCCAGCCAGAGCAGGTGGTAAATGTCCCCCACCATTATCATCAACCCGCCCCCAGCCTTGGACTGCTGTTTGCTTTGGGGGTGCAGAACACCTGCAGGGCGTTGCCCTCTTACCAGACAGAAAGTCCCATTGAGCTCAATGGGACGCACCTCTGAGTAAACATGCATAGATTGGCAGCTGCGTGTTTCCCTCTCCTATGAGTTTCAAGTAGGTTTTTGGGGGTGGTTACTGTAAGGAGAGACATTCTGGGGGGTTTTGGCGCAGGAGGCCTCGGCAACCAAAGGAATATGCTGTTCCGGGCGACACCAGCTGGCAACACTTTCCAGCGCACAGCTCCAGAGATGCTGCTCATATTAAATTCATGAACGGAAAAGCGGGGGGGGGGGTCTGTGTTGGGGGTCTAGGAAGTCAACGTTCCTCGAGGCGCTGGCCTAAGGCCAAAAGCCCAGAGGAGAGCCCTGGGGATCGGAACGGCTAGCGGAAGATTTCCTGGGAAACCGAGACCGCAGCGAGAAGGGCATGTCGGAGCTACAGCTGTGCTCCAAAACCCCACGGGAGCGTCCCTGGTCCAAGCGATCGCCTCTCATCCTGGACCAGGATGGCTTCCCACAAAGGACACCCAGACTGACGGCAATGCTAGCCATGCTGTAGAGCGGGGGTCTGGAACCGCCACCAGTCCCCCTGGGGCCTCAGCACAGCCCCCCAGCGGTCCCTGGAGGGCCACACCCCCTTCCTCCTTTCCCCAGACAAGGAGCATTTGGGGCTTTCTCCCCAGTTCTGAAAAGCTAAGCTGCCTTTCCCGTGGGTGAATTCCTGACAGTATGAAATTTAAGCTCCACTGTTTATATTTATACCCCACTGTTTTTCCTTTCAAGGAGCTCAAAGCAGTTTACATAATTCTCCTCCACTCGCTCTCAGTCTCATCCCCACAACAACCCTGTGAGGCGGGCCGGGCTGAGAGTCTGCGGCTGGCCCAGAGTCACCCAGTGGGCTCCATGGCTGAGCGGGGACTCGAACCCAGGTCGTCCGAGTCCCAGTCCCACGCTCTTAACCACGACACCAGGCTGGCTCTGAGCGCAGCCCTGGGATGCATCTCCAAAGTGGAATTTGGCCTTCAGGATGGGAGGGATGAAAACCCATGTTGTAAGGCACCCCCCCCCCCCCCGTAAAGAGCAAACCGGGCTCCTCAGCCGGCGATTCTTTCTAATGCGGGCAGCAGCCCCGGGCAGAGCACGCGAGCAAGAACCCTGCTTCCTTCCGGCGGCAGCTCCGCTCCCCTGGCTGGTTTTGCTTCCATGCATCCTCGACCTGCAGTGTTCCGTCCCCCTCATTCCACCATGATCCCTTCCGACGGCCTTTTGTCGTGCCGTAAGCACTAGTAAAGTTTCCAGGACAACCGGGGCCGGTCTACCGTTAGGTAAAGCGAGGCAGCTGGTTCAGGCGGCAGATGCTTGGAGGCGGCTGCAGACGGTCAAGCCGAGAGCCGGGACCTCTGAGTCAGCCCAGCTCTTTCGGGCGAGATGGTGCCAGTCCAGGGTACGCAAGAGGCGCCGGGACCCAAGGCAGGGCAGCCCAAACACTCTGCCTGGGGACTGGCAGTCGGGTGGGGACCGAACTCAGGAACCAGGAGTGCATCCCAGAGCAGGCCAGGGCGCGGTCCTGAGCAACGCGAGCCGCAGAACCAGAAGACAAACGGAGAAGGGAGCAGGTCCACAGGGCGGGATAACTCGGTTGGATTCAGGAGTTGCAAGATGCAGCAAGCAAGGCATAATCCAACAGGGTCAGGCGAGACGCGGGAGCTGCACCACCTCGCAGCCAGCAGGAAAACCCCGCAGTTACGGCGGCCTCTGCTAGGCAGAGCCGGCCTTTACCCAGCGCTTCCCCAGCCCCCCAGCTGGCCCGCATCAGGAGGCTGAGCGCTGGGCAGGGCCTGGGCGCATCCTGCAAATACAGACGTGGGCCTCCTGGGTCTGGCCACCGGGTGGCGCCCCAGAGCTGCCCTGAGGTGCGGGGAGTGGAGCCCGCTTTTGTCCAGGGCTTTGGGGGTGGCACTCTCTGGTCCTTCACTGCCAGGAGCAAAGTGCGTCGGGCTGCCCTGAGGGCAAATCTTGTCTCAGCCACCATGAAGCCCTAGGTGAGCAAGGATGCTGCAGCCTTTGCTTCTGCAGTACGGGCACTGTAATCCTAGAAGGTGGGATCTAAATGCAATTTAATAATAAAAGAAATAATGTGCTCAGGGAGATGGGGCAACTTGAGGCCCTCCAAGTGTTCTAGCTTTCAATTCACATCATATCCACTAGTGGCTGGGGGTGATGGGAGTTGTGGGTCTAAACATCTGTGGGACCACCAAGTCCCCCATCCTAAATAACCGAAGGAGACCTATAAGGCTGCCATCCTGTAACAGTTCTATGTGGGTGTGCATCCCACTGAATGGAACATGACTTTCTTCTGAACTGGCATTGCTAGGCTTGCATGGCGAAGGGCCTTATTTTCCATTCTCCACATGCACCGGAGAGTGACCTGTTTGCAGAGAATTTGGCCCTTTAAAGAAGAGCTGTGATTGTTACCAGTTATCTCAGTTGCTGTCCTGCGTACACCACTTAACACACTGTCACCCCCACGCAGCCTGCATGGAGATTAAGCGAGCAAAGGAGCTACGTCGGTTGAATTTCTGCCTGCCCTGCCGCAAAAGCCATGCCTTTCTTCCCTTCGGGACGGCTTCGACAGGATCACGCAATCTCCGCCCAAGTGTGGGCAGAGGAGGCAGATGTCGCCACCGCGCAGGCGCCCTTCGGTGCCGCTCACCCTGCCCGTTCCTCTCCCCGTGCCCGCGGCCAAGATGGCGCCCGGCCGCTCCGTGACGCAAGCAAGCGGGCGGGGCCGCGGGCTTTTCGGCGGGAAGCCGTCATGGCGGCGGTTGCCATGGAGGTGGCCGGCCCTGCGCATCCCTCTCCTGCGGAGAAGCCGGCGGGGCTCGCCGCGAGCGGCCACTACGAGCTGCCCTGGTGAGATCCGTGTGTGCGAAAGCCCCTGGGGGCGCGGGGAGTGCGGGCGCGGGGCCTCGGGCGGCGGTGCTGCGGGGGGGGGAAGGGGCGGCGTGGAGTCCAGAAAAGGCATGAAATAGGAAGTGGATTCAGGATGGACGCTGCGGAAGGGGGCTGTGGATCACTGGGGGCGGCAGGCGAGGGGGGAATCGTTGGGGGTGCGAGGCTGGCCGGCCGCTTGGCCATGGGGCATTGCTGGAAGAAATGCAAGGCTGGCTGGCTGGCCGGGGAGGAGTTGCTTTGGGGGTGCAAGGCTGGCCGGCCGGCCGGCCACGGGAGCATTGCTTTTGGGAAGGGCAGGTGCAGAGAGACGTTGCTTTGGGGGGCGGGGGCACCCTAAGATTTGCAGAGGCATTGCTGTGGATGACCAGCGAGGACTAGGAGAGGCCTGAGAGTGGCAGGTAGCCCTTGGGGGTGCAGGATCCCATGGGGAATGGGGTGCATTCACAAAACCCTGTTAAAAATGGGGTGGGGTAGCAGGCAGCTGTTGGCACGATCCCATGATGGGAGAAGGAGACCCCGCTTTCAAGCAGGTTGTGACACGAATACTCTGCACCATCCCGGTCCCACTCTTTGCAACATCTTCATGCAATAGCAATCTAGCGTAGACAGCCTCTTCTGAAGGGAAAAACACTCATACACCATTGCTTGTGCAGTCTGTTTAAGGTGCTGTGTTATGTAGCAAAGGCATAAACTGGGCAAACCAAAATGCTGGCATTTCTGCAAACAGCTGTCTGCCTTCTCTCATCACCCCACATCTGGAAGGCTGCAGAAAAAATGATTGCCTCTGTTAACCATTCCTCACTTTCTAAGAGCGCTCTGTTCTGAATTCATACTAATTTTTCTCTTAAAGAACACTCTTCACATGGATCCTTTAAATCTCTTCTTTCCCATCTTCGGTGGGATTTTTCTCCGGGTCTTAATAAAGGGGATCGATGTAACATGTCTCTTAATTTTTGTCTCTCCCATTTTTGATGCAGGGTTGAAAAATACAGGCCTGCAAAGCTGTCAGAAATAGTTGGCAATGAAGACACCGTGAGCAGATTGGAGGTATGGAGATGAGGTCATTGTAAGGAAGATGTTACTCTCTTTTTAGAAGTGTGTTGCTTAAGGAATGTCGTTGAAAGTCCTGATTAGATCTCACCACTGTCCTGATACTATGAGCTTCCCGGCTGTCAGGCAAACTTCAAGCTGCTTGTCCCTTTGGGTTTCTGCTTTCCCATTTCTGCAATGCAGCATCTTGCAGGGGCAAAAAGCTCATCCTCCAGACATCGCGCGGAAACGAGCTGATGGGACCGATGCCTTTGCAAGGCCATTTCAGACCTTCCCTGCCGACTGCTGTTTTTCAGCTCGTTGCTGATGTAGCTAGGCTTCCTTAGCAGGGGAAGCCGACCTGGTATTAGGAGCTGCTTTATGTTAACTGCACGTAAATTACTGTGAAAGGAAGGGCTCTCTGGGGTCCAGGAGGCAGCTTGGCTGTCGATCTTGGCTAAAGGCAAAATCAGAGACACGTTTTTGTGTGAGTATATAAAGAAAAGCAGGGAGATGAGGCCGGGCTGTGAACTTCTGCAGACAGACGTAAAAACCCTCCTTATAACCTTGATCCTTCAGCTCTGAATTCTCTCTCTGCATTTGGAAATGGCTCTCCCACGTTTCAGACAGATTTCCAGGCCTGCCTTGAGATACTGGGAATAAATTCACACCTTCAACATGTGCTGTACCACAGAGCTGTGATTGCTGTCCAAATTAAAGCCCACATCACCCCTGGCATCCCATTGCAATAGGGCAGCTCAGGCCGTAGAGCTGGCAGTGTGTTAATGGCCCAGTAGTTTGATTATTATGGTGTTCAATAGAAATATATCTGGGAATTACGAATAAGCCAGGATCAGGTATGGTGAACCAGGTGCAGAATTGCAGGTAGATAAAACTGGAAGTAGGGGCCGCTGTAACTGCAACCCCCATGAGCAGAGCAAGGCCCAGGGGTGCTTTTGCTTGCAGGGTGTCCCTCTTCTGTCCCACACATTGGTGGCAGCCACAAGAACAAGCAGGAAACCTTTCCACAGGCTGATAACTTCTGTGGGCTTACCTGCAAAGCTGGGGTTGCTTGGGAGAGAAAGGAGATGCAGCTGCTAGTTGGGGGGAAGAAGGTAAGGCGAGGAGGTGGTCCTGCTAAAGTCAGCTGGCGGGATTGTAGGCAGGCAGCCTGTGTGTTCGAAAGCTCGCTTTCCTGTCTCTCAGTCTGTTTTGTCTCTCCTAGGTCTTTGCAAGGGAAGGCAATGTCCCGAATATAATTATTGCTGTGAGTATTGGTAAGATTAGCAGGATACCTTCAGGTGGGATTGAGCAACCTGGACCTGACGCTGTGGCTAAGCAGCTCTTCCTGGGCAAGGTGTCAAGTTGGTGGCCCATTTCAGCAGGTCACCTGTTCCCCTCTCTGGCTGTATCAGGTCAGCCCTGCCCTTTTAGGCCATCTCTTGCTTTGCTTTCTCTGTGCCACATAAAGAATTCTTCGCTTGTGCTGGCCACCTAAGAATCTGGATGACGGTTGTGCTCTGCCTGCCGTTCCTTATTAGCAGATCATTTTTAGCAGTGCATGTTGTTTATGAATTCTGTAATTCACCAGGCAATCAAACGTTGAGGAACAATGGGAAAATAATTCTAAATAAGACACTGGAATTACCAAAATCCAGGTTGTCCCTTACGAGAGAGAGAGAATGAGAGAATTTATTGGAACACTAAATTTTTTGGTTTTTTTTCCCCATTTCAAGGGACCTCCAGGAACTGGAAAAACCACAAGCATCCTCTGTTTGGCTCGAGCTCTTCTGGGCCCCGCCGTGAAGGAGGCAGTTCTGGAGCTGAATGCCTCCAATGACAGGTGAATGAAGGGGCCGGGGTGAGAATCGTGCTGTGTCAGTTTGGCCATTCCATGAAGCACCTGAAAGGAGGTGTTTTTCTTTTGCTCTCCACATCCATTGTGTGCCGTCAAATGTGTTTCAGATGAGCTCTCCTTTCATGGTGGACTCGGTGTGTTCATTCGTCCACTGAATTGTGACCAGGGTTACGTCCTTCTCGTACCTTCTGCTGGGAGCCTCCTCCGGGGCTTTTTGGCATTCTGGATGATTTCTGGAGCCTTCGCTAGCTGAATTGGATACAACGCCCTCAGTTACAAAACAAATCTGAGATTTTTTACAGGCACTTAAGTCTTTTAGTAGAATTCAGTGCGTAGACTTTGTGTTTCTAGAACTCTTGAGCCTTCGTATGTGAGGAGTCTTATGTGGAAGGTGTGGACTGGGGAGCCCTAAAGCTGATCCTTCCTAGGCTTTCTTGGAGTTACAGCTCTCCTCCATGGGGAAGATTAACAAAATTCACCGGGAAGGATGGGAGGAGGGTGAACTCAGCTTCCGGGCTCTTTCTGTTTGTGTTTAAAGCAGCGCTTTCCCCCGTTACCCTTGGTATCCACCAGCAGTGCAATAACGATTGAACCTTCTTTCAGAGGCATTGATGTTGTGCGGAACAAAATCAAGATGTTTGCTCAGCAGAAGGTCACCCTTCCAAAAGGCCGGCATAAAATTATAATCTTGGATGAAGCGGACAGGTGAGCGGATCTATCCACCAACCCTGTGAAGTTTGCCAGTGAAATTCGGTGGTATGCAGGCAGCAAAAAATCCGCTTGCTTTAGAGGACGGAAGTTGGAAAGGAGGCTATTTTGCCCACTGTTTTTTTCCTGTAAAATAGGAAGCTATTCTGAAGCCCCAGTGCCAGCATCCTGCCAGATCAGGAGGTCAGGAGACTCTACACAGGCCCCGCATTGCCCGCCCCCTGTAATGACAGTTGGCTTGCTCCCCGGGTGTTTTTCCTTCGGGAGCCCAAATAGCTTGTGAGGGGAAGGGTGGGTGGGCGGGCTTGGCACAACACATGCCTCTCAAAACCACAAAATTTAGGAAAACCAAACACTATGCAGGGACGGGGAAGCCCGGCCCAGCCCGGCCCGATTCTGCCTGGCTGTAGAGAGCTCAGAAAAAGGGAACAGGGGAAAAGGGATGGGACCCTGAGCAGAAACATTCCGCACTGGACACTGTCTGCCCCTGGGCAGTTTGTGGGGGCAGTTAAATAGCCAAACCCAGGCCAGGTGTAGCCTCAGATGACTGGGCTTTCGCCGCTTCGACCGTCTTATGCTTCTCCCCCCCGTTGCCAACAAGCATGACGGATGGAGCTCAGCAAGCCCTGAGACGGACGATGGAGATTTATTCCAAGACGACACGCTTCGCTCTGGCTTGCAATGCTTCGGACAAAATCATAGGTAAGATTTCGCCACTGCTTTCATTTGGGCACCAGATGGAAACTGTCCCCTTTTGCAGATCCTGTGAGAGCTGATTTTAACACCTGATTACAAGAGCCGCTGTGCTCCAGGAAATTTCCCTCTGTACTTGTCATCATCATGTTTAATTGTAATTAGTGTATTTGAATGTTGCTAGCTGCTTGGAGACCCCTGTCAGGTTATGCAGCAGCATATAAATTTGTAAATAAAGAGCTTTTGGCTACTCGGCATAGGGAGAGAATCTTTCACTTGTTCCCAGCACCTCTTTAGTTGTCAGTTTTTACATTGTTGCTATTCTGGAAAGAAGCCCGAATCTACAAAATGCCAGGCCTTGTTCTGTTAAAACTGAGGTGCTCTACAGGTTTGAGAAAGAACCTTCCAAGGGCCAGTTCTGGACTGGTGAAGTAGAGGGAAGGAGAGATGGAAGAAGGAAGTTTTGTCATTCTCTTAATTCCGCCATGAAAAAGCTGGGGAGCCTCGTGTCTCTTGGTCTCATTATGCCCCTACTGGCAATACAAACAATAGTTCTGACCTACCTTACAAGGGTGTACCAAAGATTACAGAATGAATCAGATCCATGAACTGCCTTGAACACGCAACACGCTGTATCTGTGCCACATTGGCGGTTTTTTCCTCCTTGCCTACCCCTTGCCATCCTTACACAGCAATAATATTTATATTTTATTTGTTTATTTATCTATTAATTAAAACATTTTTATGCCGCCCCATTCGCTGAAGCCTTGGGGCGGCTTACAACAATAAATTAAATAATTATAATTAAAAATGCAAACATTAGAATAAAATACAAACATACAATATAAAATTATAATTGTATTTATAATCGGTTGCTGTGTCATAGAAGAAGTCGGTTTGTGTGGGGCAGAGCATCGACATGAGGTCTTCTCCCATGGTTCTTAACGAAAACAGGGTCCCGGGTGCAGCATGCGCCTACCCGATTGGTTGGTAGCACAGACTGGGCCTTGAACCCGAAGCCAGTCGTGAGTCTTGCGTAGCATCATGGAGCGAGACGCGGCCCAGGCAGATCGCAGAGAGTGCGTAGAAGGACCCAGAAGCTGGGCTGATGTAGGCAGAAGCCGGCTCCCCGAATTGCAGGGATTTCTGGCCTCGCAAAAACCGTCCGCGGTCATCCTTCGGGTCGTCATCCTCCGCACCATCTTGCAGAGGAAGCAGGTTGAGGCAGCGATGGCAGGCGGTGGAGTTTGGACACATGGGTGCCGGGGGTGGGCAGACCCGCCCCTCGAGCGCCGTTCTGGGCACGGCTCTGTTTGCTTCAGCAAGGCCCCTTCGTGGCTCTTGGGGGCCTTCGGGGGCTTCTCAGCTCAGGCACCCAGCAGCCCTTGGCTGCATTGCAAATCTGCAAAGGAGAGCCCCTCTTGTGCCTGTGGGAACCTGGAGGAAGAACCTTTCACCTGGACTCCCAGTGTGCAGGCGTAACGGGGGGAACGGACGGGGGACAGGCACCTTGCAGGCCGGGAGGATCTCGGGATCCACCCGGCTGGACGTCTCGGCCAGTCTGGGCAGACAAGGCCGCCAAACCAGAAGGGCTCACGCAGCGGCGGCCTGTTCCCCCCTGGATCACAGGCTGTTCCCTCCCTCCCCGTAGAGCCCATCCAGTCTCGCTGTGCCGTGCTGCGCTACACCAAGCTGAGCGATGCACAGATCCTCGCCCGGCTCATGAAAATCGTCGAGAAGGAGAACGTGCAGTACACGGACGACGGGCTGGAGGCCATTATCTTCACCGCTCAGGGGGACATGAGGCAGGTGCGTCGCGCTCTCCGGGCCGCCTCCCCGAAGGCGCAGCTGTTTAGGCTCACGGAGCACTGTGGCCTTGCAGAACTTGTGAGGGCCCCCGGGGGGCAAACCCAGGCCGGCGAGCGCGGCTGCCCCGCAGAAGCCCTCTGGTCTCCGCCGCTGGCGAGTTGCTGCTGATCTCGCAAAGGCACAAAGAGGGTCTACAAGAAATTTGCTCCTCTGAAGTAGCTGAGACTTGATGTCCACTCATTTGGCTGCTTCTACCATAGCCTTCCCCAGCCGGGTGGCCTTCGGAGGTGTTTGGACTACAACTCCCAGAATTCCCTTCCAGCAGGGCACCAACTGGGAATTCTGGGTGCTGCAGTCCAAATGTGTCTGAAGGCCGCCCAGTTGCGGGAGGCTGGCCTACAGCAAGTGCATGCAGGCCTTTTTGGTCTCGAGGGCGACATTTCCTTCTCCAAGGCACTTTCAGGGCAGGATTCTGCCACAGTGCACCAAGGAAACGTAGAGCAAAAATATGAGATAAAATTGCAGTATTGCAGTGGTAAAAACAAAAACGGCACACGTACCGGCATCACGTAAAATTCAGCCACAGCATTGTTAGTGAAAACCTGATCAAAGGCAGGCAGAGTCAACAGATGGATTTTCAAGGCCGCTGAGCCCGCGCAGGATTCAGTGGGATATTTTCAGGGCTCGGGGAGTCCACCTTTTGGTTCTGAAAGCTTTTTACTTTTGCAGCCCTTGCTGATTCCTCCCTGCTGGGTCAGAGGGTGGACGGTTTAGCCTCTCTGAAGGCCAAAAGGAACTACCTTTTTGCCCCCCTGTAGGAAGAATTCTGCATCCCTTGGACGCTCTCTGCAACCCCAGTTCATCTGCCACTGCTTTTAGTAAAATGCCTCCTTACTCTTTCAACAGGCACTGAACAACCTGCAGTCCACCCATTCCGGCTTTGAATTTGTCAACAGTGAGAATGTGTTCAAGGTGAGCAAGAGCCCTTGTCCTCCAGCCTTTAGCTTGCTGCACGGGACTCGGCAGAGGCAGCTGCTTCTCCAAGAGGGAATGAGCTCCGCTTTTCTGCCCAGTCGCTGCACCTGGACGGACCCCTGCTTTGCCCCAGCATCCTTGTCCACACTCTTCTCTGTAGGAAGAAACCCCAGCCACAAACGAAGCTGGTGGGCCTGCAGATCTCCTACTCTCAGTTGCCCATCTCTTAGCCTACTCCTGGCTTTGGGGTTGAGCAGAAAGCGATTTTGCACTGGCAGCAGTGATGCTGAGGGTCTCAGGCAGGTGCCAACGACCCCACCGGAGACCTGCTGTGTTGGCTTCACCACCAGGGCGAGGGAGACCCGGCCGGGCCTTTAGCATGCTGCCATGGGAGCAGTCACACAGGCTTTCCTCCCCTCCTGGGCATCTCTGCACCAGGGAAAGAGCCTCTTTCTGTAGCACCAGCTCAGCAGATGCCACATTCCATTTCTTGGACACCTCGCACGTTTTCCGCAGCTTTTTAAATTCTGCCATGCTAGCTTTCAAAAGGAGCTCTTTGAAAAATCCCACTGGCCCTTGAAAATGCACTTAAGAAGCTAGGAAGAGTCATGCTAGAGCAGAGTAAGGGATGCTTCTCATCATGGATGAGGAGGCCCACAAAGAGGACACGGGCGCCATGACTCCCACCTGCCCATACAGCCCTTGATCGCCTTCTCCATGGGGGGGGGGGGGGGGAATCACAGCTGTTTCCTACAGAAATGAGAGAGAGGAACATTTTGAGGTGGTTCCTCAAGCTGCAGATTTGCATCTTTGTTAGGCTGCAAATCACCTCGAAATGCATCGCTGGAGCAGCATGAATTCTGATTGAAATTCCTAAGCCGCCTTCCAAGGCTGAGGGAAGTGCAATACGGCTGATGGGGCAAGGTTGGTGGTCTTTCAGGGGCCAGAGGAATTTGTGCAGATTGAAGGCTCCTCTCTACAAGGAGACCGACCCTTCCAAAGCTGTATTTTCAAGGTCTTCTCTCACCTTTGCCACAGGTGTGCGATGAACCTCACCCTCTGCTGGTGAAGGAGATGATCGGGCACTGCGTCAGTGCAAATATTGACGAAGCGTACAAGGTGGGTGACGGATTAACGCTGCCTGGCCCCTTTCTGGCCAGGATGAAAGGCCCGGGTCTGTGCAGCCGTGGCAGAGGAACTGGCTGCTTTGAGAGTCCGCTTCTGTGGGGCGGCAGACTGGCAGGCGAGCGGCCCGTCCCCCCATCTGCCCTTTGCGGCGACGGCATCAAATGCATAAGCGCCAAAGATCTGACCAGCCAAATGCCTCCATGTACCCAGCGCATCTTTAGGGAAAATCAGGCGGCCCCTCTGAAGCTCCCGTGGGTTCATCCAGCAGGGGGGCCTCTTGTGTGTTCCATCAACACGTGAAGCAGGTTTGTTGGAGGCCACGAGGGGGGCCGCTGGCTCAGACACACAAAGAACAGAAGTTTTACAACATGTGCTTCAAAAACAGTGGGCTTGATGGTATGCTTGGTTTACATCAGCGGCAAGCAACTGTGCGTTGGGATTGTGTGGCTCTCGGGTTCCGGGTTCTCCTTGTGGTGTTCTTAGCTGGGCTGTTTTAGCCAGATCTTAACACTTGGGCAACGCCTTCTATTTTTATCAAGATTGTGTTGCTTTTTATTGGATGACGTGGTGCATAAACATGAGTGTGTGATGTTTTAATTTTTTGGTCCAGATTCTCGCCCACTTGTGGAGACTCGGCTACTCACCCGAAGACATAATAGGCAACATTTTCAGAGTGTGCAAAACCTACCCGATGGCCGAGTACCTGAAGCTGGAGTTCATCAAGGTTGGTTTCCGGAGAGGCTGCATCCACCTGGTGGTCGAGGGCAGGGCAGGGCCGGGCGAGGTTTTGTTTCCCGTATTTTATGGAAGGTGGAGGAGGAAAGGTAACACGCTAGAGCTGCCTTCCCCAGCCTGGCCCCCCAGTTATGATGGAATGCAACTCCCAGCATCCCCGGGGAGCGTGGCAGTTGGGGATGCTGGTTGAGGATTAACGGTGTGGTAGTTTAGCACATCTGGAGGCCCCCACAGGTTGTACTGGGTGGGTGACTGAAACATGGGCACGGAGTCCCCCAATCAACGCAGGACTTTGAAGCGACACAAAAGGCATCGTTTGCCGGGCTCGCTCCGGGCTGTTCACAAGCCCAAGTCATCGAGGGCAGGCAGGCAGGCAGGCAGGCAAGTGTGTGTGAACCAGCTCGGGGCATTCCTGTCGCAGCCCTTTCTCTGCAAATGCTTGGGGCAGCCCTTTGGCAAGCGCAGCACCGGCTGGACACCCTCCAGGCAAAAGGAGTGCTGCAGTTATGCAAGGAGAAAAGCCCTCAGACGGACGGCTTGCTCTTCAGTCGTGCTAAAAGCAATTCCGTCAAAGCAGAGAAGCTACGCAGAGCACGCAGCAACAGCCTTCCAGAAGTTCTGCTACCCTCTCGGCTTCGCTCACACTCTCAAGGAGCTCTTCCCAACCTCAAGGGCCAGAAACTTGTGGCTTTTAGAACAAGGAAACAAATACTGCGGCCATTCAGAAAGCTCAGTTATATGCCCACTGCTGCGTTCTGTATTTTCCTGTGTGCTGCTGAAATTACTGCGTCCCAGCTTCTCAGCATCCAGCACTTCGCTTCCTCTATTGCCGTGTCCATTTTGCTGCTTTCCATGCCTGTCTCATTTCGCATTTGCCACTGTCGGGCCGGACACAGCTTTCCTGCGTGGTTGGTCTACTTGTACATACCTTTTCCTCTTTGGTTCCCTCTTCCGGCTCTATGCATGAAATCAACACGATAAAGCTGCCCTTTTAACCCCCCTCTCTGAGCTTGCCTTGCAGTTCTGCATTTCTCTCGAGAGAGGAAAAAAGGGGAATCTAATCTCTCATCTTTCTTTGTGCGGCCAGGAAATTGGCTATATTCATATGAGGATAGCTGAAGGGGTGAATTCGCTGCTGCAGATGGCAGGCCTGCTGGCCCGGCTTTGTCAGAAAACGGCTGCTCCCACGGTGAGCTGAGGGCGTGGACAGGGGCCCGGCTTTGTGAGGAAGTAATTCTGCAAGCAGACTGCAGCCGTTTCGTGTGATTCTGTGGCGAAGGTGACTTTTGGCTCGTCTGGCCACAGAAGTCAAAACTTTTGTATCATGCAGCTCATAGAGTTTTAAACTTCAGGCCAAATAAAGCTCGATAGAAGAACGGTGTGGGTCTCTCTCATTTTACCTCTAGGATTTGCTGCATGCACACACAGAATAGTGTGTGACACACACTAGTGACACACGATTGAAGTCGCATGGGGTTTTGGTCTTCCTGATTGGATGTCGTATTACCAAGCTTCTGTTTTAACATGGCTAAAAGAATGGATAACTTTAAGAAATAAGAGAATCTTGCATCTTGAAGGGCATGATTTGCAAATGGGTTGGCACACTTATATGTGGCAGGAAAAGTGTAAGGTACATGGTTGCTTCTTAAATCATTATATAAGGAAATCATTAATATCAGTGTGGGAAAAGTTAAAGATAAAACTGTATACAAAATTACCAAGATGGCTTTCGCTTATGGAAGCTCTTGTATATCCAAATGCATTGAATTTTGATACAATCGTGAGATAGGATATTTTGGATAATGATGGAGGATTAAAATTGAATTAAGAAAAAGGAATTAATATTTCTTGGTGACACAAGGTTCAAATGCAATCGAGATATGCTAAACACTATAGCATGTGGGGCTTGTATAAGGAACCAACAGCATTTGATCACGTGATTCTTAAATCATATGAGAAAATGATCAAAAAACTGTACAACTTCCTACTAGATAGGGAGAATGGAAGATGAACAGGTTAAGGAAACTATGATAATGTGGGCACAAAACTTCGGATGTAATATTGAGTTAGAGAAATGGCAAAAGCTGTGGGAAAGAAATATTAAAGTAACATTAGCAACTTCATACAAAGAAAACCTGTATAAAATGTTTTATAGATGGTATCTGTTGCCAAATAGGTTAGCTAAGATGTTCCCAAATATGTCAAATGGATGCTGGAAATGTAAACACAAATCAGGTACTTTTTATCATATGTGGTGGACATGTGATAAGGCAAAAAAGTATTGGATTAAAATACACAAATGGCTGGAGGAAATGTTACAAAAACCTCTAACATTTAAACCTGAAGTTTTTTTATTAGGTATTGTACCTGACGATCTTAGTAAGCAAGCAATGTATTTGACTCTACATATAACTACTGCGGCAAGGATTGCACTTGCCCAACACTGGAAGAGTGAAGAGCCACCCACCAATGAACTGATCCTAAAAAAGATCTTGGACTGTGCGGAAATGGACAGATTGACTTGGTCTCTGAAGGAGAAAGAAGATACAGACTTCTATCAAACCTGGGACTCTCTTTATCATTGGCTAGAGAAACGGGACTTCGCATAGACTTAAATATGTTTATAGTTTAACATAAAAAGAAAAAATGTGGGGGGCTGATAGGGTTGGGGGTTTTTTAGGTATATATTAAGAATAAAACTTATTCAAAAAAAAAAGAAATAAGAAGTCGCATGTGGAGGTTTAGGGTTAGACCGCTCTGCGGAAAGTCCTGAGGTCAGGAGCACGGTGCGGGGTGTGGGAAGTGAATTCAGATGAACCGCGCCATAGATTAAGGGTCCTGATGTTCAAACTACCTAACTGCTCCCAGTACCGGATGTTGAAATCCCTCTTCTGCACTGCTGCTCAAGGCGGCTGGAGCCCTCGAGCTTTTCTTCACCTGCAGACACAGGTGGGCATGGACGCCTGTGCTGCGGAACTAACAGCTGCAGCAAGCTCCTCTTTCTGCAGCTAAGTCAGCAAGATTGAAGCCGTGGAAACCTGGCCCACAAACTGCCAACTGGGCAAGCCCTGCTGGGTCATGTCACACGGAAGGGAAGCCCACGACATGGGCACTGACTCGGAGCGCAGAGGCTCCATTTATCGCTCACGAGCAACAGGTTTTCCTCCAGGAAGACGTGCCCCTTCTCCAGCCGGCAGCCGGCCCTCATCGCACGGCAGCAGGTTCAAGAGCTTAACAACGGAGAGCATACAGAGGCCACAGGCGCCTGAGGCTGTGGGAACATAAGAGAGGCTGTGGCCACGCTTGCCAATCCTCGCTTCCTGCTAGAATTGCCGGATGCCGGTCTTGACACAGCAGGCAGACATGTGCATTCAGAAGCCACCCTGCCCAAGCGGCGGCGTCAGCCCCCGAGAGCGCCTGGCTGTGAAACGCTGCACGGTGGACTTCAGATACAGCAGGTGAGAGCGACCTCCACCAACTGATTGCTCTGCCTCGTGACAACAGTGGGCTTGCGGCAAGGCTGAAACCACACGGCTGCAGATGTGGCGAGGGATTCCACGCATCACGTGAGACGGCGTGTTGAACAGGTTGCTGGATTTATGCAGGCAAGCTTGGAACAAACAACCCCGTATACACGAGCTCAGACAGAGGGGCTTCTTTCCCAGAACAATACATTTTTAAAATGTATGTATATTTTAAAAAACAAGATCGTAGTTCAGCATGCAGCCGAGTCCTTGTGCTAATAGAAATGGTAGAACAGGCAGGGCATACTCCAGCTGTGCTGACCGCAATACCCATCCCCAGCTGCAATGATAGGAACTGTATTCCAACACATCCAGGGAGTGCTAGGCTGCCCACCTTTTTCCTCCCAAGTCTCGCACCCTTGAAATGTGAGCAACTGTTTGTGGAGTCTGTGCAGGACTCTGTCAAGTGCCATAGTTTGGATTAGGCCCTCGAGTGGTAGGACTGCTTTTAATTTAACTACTTAAAATATTGCACATGGTATATCAGTGTTACTATGGCTAATAACCAGAACAAATAAACTAGAACTGGCGAAATGAGACTTGCAGGCTACAATTTGACGAAATGCAGTGCGCAAGTGTTCCCAGAGACACTCGCCTTTTCCAGTTGGCTGTCTTTGGAAGGCACCCCCCTCTTCCTGAGGTCTAGAGCACTGCATTGCACAGCAGCGGGAAAAGTTGGAATCGCTTCCGAGAGAGGATGTGCTCCTGGAGCTCTTGAAGCACTTCTCACAGGTTCTTAGGCCGGAGACCTAGAAGGAAGGGTGGGAGGATGAAGAGCCTTAATCAAAGTCCTACCACTGTGTCCTTCCAGAACAGACCAGTCTGTTCTGGTTGCCGTGCACACACCCTATTCTCCCAGTCCTAGCTGCCGCCACAGCTGGTAGAAGAGGCTGTGCCACCAGACTAAAGAGGAAGGATGCCATTCTGCTTGAAGGCTCACATTATGGCACCGGGGGGGGGGGGGGATCCTTGCAAGGAGAAAGGCAGCACAGCAGGCAACAGACACGGGAGGGCCTTTCTCTGCAGTGCTAGTTTTCTGCCTGCAGGGGAATTCCCAGGCACCATTCCAACATGGCATCGCTCATTGGCCATTTGAAAAGCACCCAAGCCACTTTGGCCGCAGGGCATTTGGAGGATCCCACCAAGAGGCTCATGTCAGCTTGGGCTTTCTCACATTAAACTATTCCAGTTTCTTATCTCCGAAAGGGAGCCGTAGCGAGCAAGGGATTCAGTGGCTCACCCATCCCCAGGAGAGAGGTGCGTCTCCGTGATTACCTGCTGGATATGGCTGCATTGATGTAATCTGGTTCTCCCTCGTCCTCATAGTGATTTTCTGGATATACGCATGTGTGAACAGAACAGAACAGAATGAGGAGTTGGTGTTTCCAGTGCTGGTCCAGAACATTTTGGCTGCTAAGGCAGCGATGCCAAAAGGCGCTCAGACAGTGGGGGATATAATCCACCAGAATGTTTGATTTGCCCAAGCCTAGTTGAAAGTAAAGTCCGCTCACACAGTTCATTGTCATTGCAAGGTAATTTAACACCTGTGCCCTACACATCTACAGATTTATTACAGATTTGCTATAGGCCCTTCCCTGGGTAGCCACCCTCCTAATCTCCTTCAGGGAGGGCTTCCGGAGAAGGGCCTCTGCCCTGGATCTCAAGGGGCAGGCCGGCGCACGTGGAAGGAGACGCTCCTTCAGTATCCAGGCCCTGGGCCATTTAGGGCTTTATAGGTCATCCCCAGCACCTATAACGTCTGTGCATATTACAACGCCCTTTGCCATGCGATCACCTTGCACTGGATTTATTACAGCAGCAAAGCGCCTCATTTTACCATCCGTCTTCGCGTGTTTCCACGTTTGGATCTCCTCCGCGTTCTCGTAAACATCCACGTCGATGGAGACTACGAGAAGAAAAAGACACGAGAGGGAAATCTAGAAGGTTGCTGATTATTTCCAAACTCTGTTCCTCTCCTCTTATTCCTGCAGCTGCCCTTGCGCCTGAGCATCAGGAGAGGCTGGGGGCGAGGGAGGGCCAGCCCTGCTGCAGCCGGCGGGGAACTGCATGCAGAGGCGCAAAGAAACCTTCGGGGAAAAACCCAGAGCATAGCCCAGTGAGGACTGAATGCCCCCCGTGGCCACGAGAAGCTCAAAATGCGGGGAAGGAACATGCTCAGAAAGGGTGTGACTGCTTGGCCACCCTATCGATCCGCAGCCAAACCGGGCCAAAACTGGACAGGAGAAGCTTGGAGGAAATGTCCCGATATTCTAGACCTCCTCCTCCCTGAACCCTCACAGACATTTCAGCAGAAAGCAAAGCGACAGCAAACATTTCCTTTCCCGTCTGGAATCGGCCTTACAAATTGTCCCCAGTCCAACCTCCCATGCATGGCAGCTGCCCCACAGGAACCCAAGTGAGCAGTCTTTCTACATCACTTGCTTCCTGCCAGTGGGGTGACCCCATGGTGGCTATACCACTGTCTGCATGGCAATCCCACAGAGGACTGGAGCACCAGAGTCCTCTCTGGACGTTGCTCCCCAGTAACTGGCATCCAGGATCCTGGAGATAGCATCGAACCATGAGGACTGGCAACCTGATCTGCCATGGGTTTGCTTAATCCTCTGAGCTGAAGGCTGTCAGTACATCAAATAGCAATAAATCCCACAGCTTCGGTCTCTCTGGGATCTCCCCCTATTTAAGTTCCACAGGTCCTGGTCTTACGGGGAAGAGGGAAAGTGTCTTCTTCTCCCCATCTCCATCATCCCCTCCCTGTGGACTGGGCTCCTGAGTGACACTTACCGCCGTTGCTGGTGCTGGCTGGCTGGGCCAAGTTTTGATAAATGTGGGAATTCTCCTCTGAAAGGGAAGGAAGGGTTGAGGTTTCACACAGCAGGAAACAGGGGTCTTGTGCAGTTCAGACCGTGCGACACACCAGAGAGAGGCACGGGTGTGTCCCCGTGGCAGCCCCCGACACCTGCCGGCTACCTGCATTGCTTCACACTGAGCAAACCTGTGTGCTCGGCATGGTTCGAGCATCTTTGACCAGGCAGAGGCTCCAGCCACGGCCTGGCTCTTTCCAAGGCAGTGTCCGGCTGCCTGCTGGACAGGGGAAGCGGCCCCAATACGAGCACCTCCGTCCGGATGATCTCTGCCCTGCCTTTGGGGAAATTCCGCCGTTTGCTGTGCTTTACAGGCAGAAATTCCCCGGTTCAGCCCTGGCATCTCCCTTTGCTGCCAGTCAGTGCAGGCAAACGCCCTCAAAAGTCCTTCTTAGCGCACAGCAGCCTCCCTGTTTCCTACTTAAATCAGTCGTTCAGCGAAAGCCGTGAGAACTGGAAACCCACTTCACAGGGCCACAAATGTTCGCGTGGCAACTGGCTTTCTGCTTTGGAGCTTCTCGGAGGCGCCTGGTTGGGAAGCAGCCCGCTGAATCGGATCCGCCCAATCCTGCACAGCTCTTCTTGCATTCCATAACCGTTTGGAGGTTGGGAGTTACAATTTTCGAGACCCCCAGAGTTCAAAGAGTGGGGGATACCTCTGTGTGCAAACGCATGCCCAGGAATGCTGCAGCGTGCATAGAGTGCCAGGCCATGCGCCAGGACGTGGCCAGTGCGCTAGGGGAGCAGCAGACGGGGCCCACCTGGCCCAGGGTGGTCCAAGCCACAGGAGCAGCTGTCCAGGTTCTCAGGCCGAGAGAAGCCCTCCTGCCGGCCCTCGCACCTGGCCCCTAATAAATGGAGATGCCGAGGTGTGCATCTTGGCCTGTCTGGACGCCAATCAGGCGCTCAGCCTCCGAGCCCCGCTCCTCCCGTGGGGTGCGTTTTAAACTGGGGACCTTTTAGGACAAGTCTTCTGCCGCTGGCACCCCTCACTCGCTTCTGGGGGAGAATATCGCAGGATCGACGAACCCAACACTGGGCAGGAAGCGGTGAGCTTTGAAGCATGAGTAATTGAGGATGGGCGGACTCGGTGGCCTGCGGTGGGAAGGAGGGGGGTGTCACGAGCCCCCGCAGAGCAATGTCAGTGGGGTGGGGGCTCAGCGTGCCCTCTGCCCCCTTCTGGGACCACCTCGCTTGATCTGGTCATTACTGGTTTTTCGGCGCCAGGTAAAGACCTTTTTATTTAAACATCATTTTAATTGTTAAAATATATGATCTGGCCAGGGCAACTTCTTCTTCCTTCTCTTTTCTCCTCCTATATTCTTTATTTACTTATTTTAGACTGTTAATTTTAATTTTATATTATTATGTTTGTATCTCAGTGTATTTTTTGTATTTTTGTATTTAGTGGTAATTTATTATGTTCTATTGTATTTCAATGTATTTTATTGTGTTGTAAGCCTCCCCGAGGCTTCGGCAAGGGGCGGCATAGAAATGTAATCATCATCATCATCATCATCTGCCGAACAGCGTTTCGTTAACCGGGAGAGCAACCCTGGCAGGCTTACCGCTGGCTGGCCTTGCGGACTGTTGGCAGTTGGAATAGAAATATCCTGGGATGGGCTCCCTGCAATAGAGAAAGGGGGGGGGGGGGCAGAATGGAATGTCAGAACTGGGGGAGACTGCCCACCCTGAATTCGGAACGGGGCCATCAAAAGTAGGTCCGATGGGCGTCTCCTGATCCTCACAACAACCCTGTGAGATGGGACAGCCTAAGAGAGAGCGACTGACTGAGGGGCACCTGCCTGGTCCGGCTCTGGGCTTGGGAAGCAGATGCTGTTGGACCTCAGTGCCCATCATCCCTGACCCCACTGTCCATGCTGACTGGGGCTGATGGAAGTTGAAGTCAAGCCACGTCTGGAGAAGCAGAGGTTCCCACACCCGTTGTCACTGGCACATACTGCTGATGGCAACTGTTAATGTTGTCGTCGTCCCCACCGCATCCTGCCCCGCATCCTGCTTATTCCACACAACCGCCTGGAGGCACTTCACCCTCTGAAGCGGGGGGGGGGGGGAGACACGGCTGCAGGGACTTTTTGGCTGTGGCTTCCTGACACCTACTCTTTAAAGTCCCGGGCAAAGAATTCCCCCTTTCCCCCACAGGCTCGATTCATGCTGCTGTAATTCTTTTTAGGAGTGTCTTTTACTGGTTTTAATGGGCCGGGGGAGGAATTGGTTGCTGTAAACTACTCTGGAAATGTTGAATCAAAGGACAGCCCCGAATGCTTTTAAGCAGAATCTGTACAAGTAAAGAAATTACAGGGACTTAGAATCCCCATCCTTCTATCCGAATTCCCCAGGAGGCTTACAAAATGGCCAAGAAACCAAAAAACAACCCAAGGCGCATGAAAGCAAATGCCAAATATACCCCACAGTTATCGGGATCAGTTCCACTCAAATTTAAAAGCCTGGGGAAATCATGAAAAGCTACTTCCTCTGGGAGGGAACCGAGATGCAAGTAGGAGCTGCGTGAGGTTGAGATGGGGTGTGAGGCGAGACGGAGGGAGCTGGGTCTCTTCAGCCTGGAGAAGAGGAGACTCGGAGGGGATCTGTTGGCGACATGCAGGTATGTGAGGGGGTGTCACATGGAGGTGGGCAGAGACCTGTTCTCCCCTGCAGAGGAAGGCAGGACGCGCTGCAACGGAGCAAAGCTCAGGGAACCCAGGTTCCATTTGGATGCCAGGAAGCACTTCCTGACAGTTAGGATACCCAGAGTGTGGAATGGGCTTCCACGGGAGGTGGTTGAGGCCCCATCGGTGTGGGTGTTCAGGGACAGGCTGGACATGCACATGGTGGGCATGTCGTGAGCGGAGCCGGGGGTCAGACTAGATGACCCAGGAGACCCCTTCTGACTCGCTCTGTTTCTATGTTTCTATGTGATAAAGGGTGCCACCACCAGGAAGCCCTTTTCCTTGGCAACAGCACCCCACAGTCCATATCTTCCTTCCGATTTGGGGTGAGAGATTCCTTCCAAGAAATCTTAGGAAAATCCAGCAATTGTGCCTCTGGGACAAGGAAAGGCCAGCCACATCCATGGTCTCCACAAGAAGAGGGCCATGATCAACATGCAGTTTGCGTGTGCTAATATAGAACACATTCTAATCATGTATACAATAATAATGCATGATGTTTAAAAATGTATAACGACTACTGTCACTGCAGCAGAAATGCAATTCATCTCGCCACAGTGGGGAGACCTAGGCCTAGGGGGGTGTGGTCAGCTTGGATCCCCCTCCTTTCCTAGGACTCCTTAACTTGAAACTGGATCCAGACTGCCCTTTATAAACATAGAAAACAAACACAGAAATAGAGCGAGTCAGAAGGGGTCTCCCAGGCCATCTAGTCTGACCCATGGCTCCAGCCGGCTTCGTTCATGACATGCCCACCATGTGCATGTCCAGCCTCTCCTTGAACAGAAGGATAAAGAAGGCTTTCCTCTGTAAAGTAGGGCTGTTTAGACAAGGATTCCATATTGACCATTCAGAAAGCCTTGCCCCCCATATCTAGGGCTGGTGTGGTTGACAGCACAAAATTGGGACTCAGGAGATCCGGGTTCTAGTCCCTGCTCAGCCATGGAGCTCATTGGGAGACTCTGGGCCAGTCAGACTCTCAGTCCAACCTACCTCACAGGGTTGTTGTTGTGGGGATAAGATGGAGAGCAGCAGGAGGGGAACAAGATAAAGCACCTTGAGTTCCTTGGAAGGAAAGAAAGTGGGATAGAGATATAATGAGTAAATAATAAATGGCCAGGACTTACACGTAAGTCTCTTCTCGCTCCATTTGTGGCTCTGAAAGACATTGGAATGTGGATTAGTCCACAAATTATGCAGCAGCAAGAAAGTCTGGATAAAGTTTCCCATAAATCCAGACAGCTCCCAAACCAATATTCCCCACCCCTGAAAAAGGAACCACGGAGGAAAAAAAGTCAAGCAAAAGACCCCCACATACAGTTGGGGCTATGAAAACAAGATGGCCGTGCTCTTGTTATGGAGAAGAGTACCAAGTGGGTGAAAATGGGGCTCTAGCGCAGGAGGAAAAATTAGAAAGAGGCAGTTCCCCCTCACCCCACCCCCGGCGTAATGGGAATTGGAGTCCGGCACATGTGGCTGAGGAAACCAATCTGGCATTTTGTCTTGGACTAAGAAGCCCGTTCTCCACATGACTATTAAGGGATGCATAAAGCCCACTGCTCCCACAGTTCACTGCCAGACTTGATCAATATCTGCTCTAGGACTTTTTAAAAATGAAACCTGTTATATTCTCTGAAATAAGATCCCAGTATTTCCCTGAGGTCTAGCGCTAACCCCAGCTCGTTTATTCCTTGTTTTATTTCTTGTGTTTTCTCATGACTTTATCTTGTAAACCTCTTTGGGATTCCCTTTTAAAATGAAAAGCAGTTTAGAAGTCATCTGAAATAAATAACACAGCAAACATTTCTGCCGTCAGGCATGTGAATTTGCTCTTAAAGGAGTCGCTGCTGTCCCCCTACCCAGTCCCGGTTTTTCGAATTCGGAGTCGAGCACAGATAACGGGAGAGGACAGGAATGGCGGAGACCCCGTAATGACCACCCAGCCCAATTTTCACCAGCCCTGAGTCCTCTAGCAACACCAGCTAAGGGGCTACATCCCCCTGGCCTTCAGTAATCCAGGCACCAATCCTGCGTGAGCGTCAATTGTGGTTGCCATTCATCCCAGCCACGCTGCCAACGCACTTACCTTTTCCACAGTTCTGATATCTGGGCTCATTATAGGCGCCTGTAAAGAAAAGGTCAACAAATTACAAGTCCAGAATGCTGATTTGGGAAGATCTTTAGGTCGTCTAGTCCGATCTCCTGGCCAGGCAGGACTCTCGACGAATAGCAGCCCAGCCTCTGATGGAATGAAGAGACCGTCACCCCGGGCTGAACCTGCCCACAGCTCCAATTCCTCTATCAAATGGAAACCGGAATGACACCTTCATTCAAGGTTAAAACCTTTTTATTTAATCGCTATTTTAAAAACTAATTATTTTATCGCTGAACGGTTGCTCTTTTTGTTCCCAGTTTTTTGTCCTGATGTAATCTTTTATTGAATTTGTTATTTATAAAGATAATTTTATTGTTTTTAATTGTATGAATTGTGAGCCATCCCGAGATGCCAAGGCATGTAGTGACAGCATACAAAACTAAAGAAAGAAAGAAAGAAAGAAAGAAAGAAAGAAAGAAAGAAAGAAAGACAGACAGACAGACAGACAGACTTCTCAAAGCAGGCCAGTGTAGAAGCAGGAGATGTTCATCCTTTGCATTTTGACTAGTCAACTAGGCCTGGTGGAAAAGGAACCCATGTGTAAGTGCTGAGAAGACTTGAGAAGGCTCTGTAGCTAGTCAACCGCACCTGGGTGTGACAACCCAGGATGTAGTCTGTGTCCGTCTGAACCCATACCGGAATTCCTGATCCAAGATGAAGACACCTTGTGAATCGGCTCCCAAGCAAGCAGATAAGCCAAGAATTCATCCACTGGTGTTTCTGCCATTGTTGTCATTTGCTCTCTACAGTAACTGGGCAGCCCTCTGCGTAAGGAAGGAACGCCATCAAAGCAAAGGGTTTAATTCGTGGGCTGCCTTTGTTTCCCTCTCTTGCGTGCTCGATTCAACCTACTAACTTGGATGAACTAAATGCAGGCTGAAGCTCCATTTCTTCAACACCAGAGTCACCGGGATGATCAAATGAAAGCTGCGCCCTTTTAAATTGCATTGAGGGAGAGAGTCAGTTGAAGGACATGCTTAAGAAAGGGCAGGAGACAGCTTTTTAAATGTAATGAAATCATTAAAGGTACTTACCGCAGTAATTTGCAGCGGAAAGATGTTCATTGGTTTTACTAATAAAAGAGAAAGCCGGATTTAGAAATGGACCTCTAATTCCTATCCAGAAAAAAGGCCCAGTACAATTGCTCAGCCTAGGCATTCCCTGGCCTTGTAGGCACATTTGGGGAAGTGACGAACGTACTGCTGACCGCACCACACAATCCCTCCGTGGTGGAATATGCTTTGGCATTGCCCAGCCGTATCTGTGGCACTCGGGGGCGGGGGGGGGGCGTTTTAATTAGCAAAAACCTTTATTTCATGTCTATTGAACAGAACGACGTCTCCTTAATATGGGATTGACTCATTTGGCGAATGGGTGGCAGTGCCATACAGCCGTTTCTTCCTAACGGGGTTTAGCCCTGTCCATGAGATGTTTCCTGTGGGAAGGAGGTTATTACATAGATACACCCCTGGAATAGTTTTTAACATTCACCAGTGTCTGCACTCTTAAATTCTTTGCCTTCTCCATGGAAGTTAACAAATGGAAGGGGACAGCTAAAAGGATTCTCTGCACTCCTTTGCGAGCTAAAAGGCCAATACATCAAAACTAGGAGGATAAAAGCTCACCTCATATAGGAACTGAGGAACAAACAGTATGTCCAGTATCTGAACAGGAGGTGTATAGCCACTGCTTTATTTGGATATTTGGTCTGCTTCAGCTGAAGCCTATATAGAATTGCTAAAATGTTCGATGTATTTCAAAGAATCATAGAAACACGGAAACAGAGCGAGTCAGAAGGGGTCTCCCGGGCCATCTAGTCTGACCCCCGGCTCCGCTCACGACATGCCCACCATGTGGACGTCCAGCCTATCCTTGAAAACTCTCACTGATGGGGCCTCAACCACCTCCCGTGGAAGCCCATTCCACACCCTCGGGGTCCTAACCATCAGGAAGTACTTCCTGGCATCCAAGCTGAACCTTGGTTCCCTGAGCTTGGCTCCACTGGAACATGCCCTTTGCAGAGGAAAACCGATCTCTACCCAAATCCAGGTGCTTCCATTAAAAAAGGGATGTAGACAAGATACCTGTTTGGTGCCTATGAATGCCACCAAAACTGGGGACCCTCTCATGGGTGCCGTCAAAGCTGCCATGCATACATCTGCAAGCCTCACCCCGAGGACCCCAGCTTCCATGCAGCCACCCCACAAGCAGGTGTTGTGGGAATGCGTGAGACTCCAGCTCCCATCATGCCACTTTGCAGCCATGCCGGCTGGAGGGGATGGGAAACGGAATGTGGCGCATCTGGATTGCACCAGGTGGCGGGGGCAACATTCGAAGGCAGCGCTGCCTACCTCGGCCTGGGCGTACGAGGTGGCTTCCTCGCAAGTTTTTGTTGTGATGCTGCAACAGAGGAGAAACAAATACTTTTAAAAACCAAATCAAGGCATATTCTGAGGAGGGCGAGGAGTCAAACAGTACCAGCCACAGAAAAAACGGGTGGGCCAGTTGTGTGCACTCATGTGGGCAAGGTTAAAAAGCACCACTTTTTCTAGAAAAGCACATACTTACTTGAGTGGGTTTGTGGCACTTCTAATCTGCTCCGGCTCTCACATCTGAAAGACAGGCGCAATTCTGCTCAAGGCCCAGTGTGCAAATAATGCAATATGCTTCCTCAACCTGACCAGCCAATTAGGGTCATGGATTTATAGTATTTGGGTAGAGAAGAAACAAACAGGAAAAACTGTGCTGCATCAAAAGAAAATTACTATGCCACATTCAAATATGTTCATCTTGAACTGCTCAACCTCATATACAAGAAGCTTCTAATTTGGGGCTGTTGCTAGGAATTTCTTAGACTATGGCAGACCATTTGTCTGTCCAACCTAATAATTGGAATTCTAAGCTGCACCAAACATCCCCGTTTCTCTGCTTGACCTGCACAAAACGGCCTGCATGCTCCGCAGATATCACAGATACAAGGTGAATCTGAGCATATGCCGAGTGCCTTCCTCACTAGGCAGCACAGCTGGGTGATACACTCCTGAAAAGGGGAGAGCTTTTATAGAAGATGTTCCGCAGGGCGTTCTAGCAGACTGGACTTCACAATCCCAATGAAGATGGGCTTAGTTATCACCTAAAGATGCTTGAAATAGAGTGAGCTTCACTCAGTAAAAATAGCAATCAGCTACTTACTGATTCCTCTGATTATTGAAGCTTGCCTTCTGTTTATTCCCTACAGGAGGGCAGAAAGAAAAACAAGGGTGTTTGCGTGCTAAAATTATACAGAAGATGGGTGGGAACGGTATGAGGCATGACCAAGAAGATCCAAAAGGTATTAATTAACCAAAGAGGTTGGGGAAAAGCATAGAATAGGATGATACTATTGTGCCCATTTCACAGGTGGGAAAACCCGAGGCTGCGCTAGAGTGCCTTGGCCAGCTTTACTGAGGACTAGCAACATTTGGAGGCATTCATGGCAGACCTCAGAACCGACGGGTGCGATATTTCAACCGCACCCACCCCAACGAAGGGTTCCCATTTTGACACAAGACAGAAACCAGTCAAGAACGCAAGGCGTGAACAGGTTCCAGGACCTTACCAGCCTGCTGGCATTTCATGCACATGCTGACCAGAGCGCCCAAAACCATCAAGGAGAATGCACCCCACACGAGCTCCCCTTGGCTCATCGCTTGGTCTCGCCCCACTTTCCACCCTGGAAACAAAAGCAGCGGAGAGACAGACATAAAACATGGTGCAGCGGCTGGGAGTCACCACGTGGCACGAACAGAGGCCTCCAAGGACAGTTTCCTTAATTCAGAATTATCACGACACGTTGAGGAAAGGAAAGGGAAGAGATACTTCGGATAGCTCTCCGTCATCCAAAGCACCATTTGGGTGGGGATGTACTGGCAAGGAGAGCGTTCCTTTTATTTAACAGGCTTGTTTTTAGCCCACCGTTTAATTATTGTGGGTTTTAATCTCTTGCAAACTGTCCAGAGTCTATGGGGAATGGGGTGGAATATAAAAATCAAAAGAGACAATATTATGGTTTAACAGGTCACTGGGGAGAGAGACTGAGGCATTGCTTGTCCAGGCAACTTTGAGGCCTCAAAGAGGGGGAACGTAAGCTTTCTCTCACTCGTTCCTATTTGACATCCAGAGTACCCCCTTGCTTAACTGCAGTCTTGGAGACAAAGCCATCCTGATTTTTCCTGTGTTGACTGCAGGGGGTGGGTGGAGGAGAAATCCCAGAATGGATCCCATCTCCAAGCCCTTTTCCAACCTCAGAGCTGGGAAACTGGGCGATGCTACGGCCTTCTAAGATGGCTCTGGGGCTGAAGCATCAGCTTACCCAAGCATCTGGCTGAGCTTGTGATGTGTTTTCAAACTGTCCTTTTAGTGGGTTTGTTTGATCGCAATAAGAAATTTAAGTCCCTTTTAAGAGTACATCAAACACTCTGGGAGGGGGTTGTGTCGCACCCACAAATCTTTGAGGGAGAATAAAAGCATTACCACCGGAATACGTGGTCAGCAGTTCTCTTTCCTCTTTTGCCTTCAGTATAGCACAACAAGATGATTCAAAGAGGATGGAAGACACACCCACAGTGCGCACTCTTGTGTCCCTCTTGTCACCGAGAGACCCCAACAAGACACGAAGTGATTGATCCTTGAGAAGGGACAACCAGGGACTCAAATCGGGATAACTTCTCTCTTGCCTCCTTTCGAAATTCTAGAACTGCACAAAAGGCAATGACAGAAAAACGGCATCAGGAACAAGCACCGTTCAGCCCGGCCTCGTCACACGCAAAGCCCAACAACAACCCTACACATTTTAATTTGTTTATTGCATTTATATACTGCCCCATGGCCTGCAGGCTTGCTGGGCCATTTACAATTATTATCATATAAACATTTAATAAATATTCATAACAATAAAAAGTAACAAGCCACCAACTCCTGCTTTAATATCCTCAAGGAAAAGAGGACCCCTGTCCAATCAAGACAGCCAGCTCCACTGCTGAAAAGCTCTCACAGTGAGAATCCCACGTCCCTGAAATTTTCACCAGTTGGATCAAGGCCCAGAGCCGACAGAGGACGATTCTGCCCTCTCTCTGGCACAAGGGTCTTTCAGCTATGGAAGGTTCTCAGGTCTTCTCTTCTCCAAGCAAAGCATTCCCAGCTCCTTCACCTGCTCCTCAAAGAAGTTGCTTTCCAGCCCCTCACCATCCTGGTTGCCCTTCTCTGAACACACTCCAACTTGTCTGTGTCCTCCTTCAAACGAGGGCACCCAGAATGGGACCAAGCACCCCAAATGTGGCAGGCCTAAAGCAGAAGAGATGAGAGCTGCAACTTCCATGAACGCACCCCGAGATCGCCCTGGCCTTCTCAGCTACAGCATCATGTGGCTGGCTCACATCCAGTTTGCACCCCACTAAGACTCTGAGGTTCTTTTCACATGTGCTGCTGCCAAGCCAGGTCTCCCCATCTTACATGTGTGAATTTTTTGTATTCAGGTAGGAAGAAAAAAAAAAATCAAAGAAATTTACCACCATTGAAACCCACCTTCACTGTTCCAGGTTGCCCAGAGCGTTTGAAAACTGGCAGTCTCTCACATACTGTTGCCGATCCCTTCTAGCTGAACATTTGGTAAGTCAACACTCTACCTACGCCACAGTCATCTATAAAAAATGTTGAACCTCACAGGGCTCTGGGGCACCCGCTTGAAACTGCCCAGGAGGATGTGGAGATACTGAATCGCACACAACCCCTGCTGGAATCCCTTTTATTGACTTGCCACCTTTGTAAAGTGTGCGCTTTGATGGCACTTTGGCCCCTAAAACGTGGTGCCGCCTGGGACTGTGCATGACGGTTGCCTCTCGCCTGTGCTTGGCCAGCTCTTCTGGCTCCCAGCCCTTTTGTGGGTGCCAAGGGTTACTATCAAGCTGTGTAAACCTTCTGTGCTATAACACTGATTCTAGTAAACCAGATGGGACACATGGGCTTTGGTGGCTTGGCTTTGGTGAGTCTGCCCTCCGGAGATGTCCCCAGGGTAGGTCAGCTTCAGTGTTGTCAAGTTTGCTTCCAGGGAAAGCCCTGCCTTGATTTGACCTCAGCCCCCATTAATTTTCCTGTTGGTCCAGCACATTGGCAAAGCTCTCCACCAGCATCCTTGGGAATGCATTCGTTTCCCTGTCAGATTTCTTCGCTGTCCGGCTTTCTCACTCATGCACGGTGATCCAGAAAGCAACAGTGCAGTCTTGGCCTCCAGCAAGATGCCCTTCCACTCAATCTTTTCTAGTTCCTTCATTGCTGCCTTTCCACATCTCAGCCTTCTTTTAATTATTTGGCCGCAGTCTCTGTTTGACTTGATGACTAAGCTGGGATATACAAAACATTTCACAATTTTAATTTCCTCATTGTTGACACTGGCGTCCCATAACACTTCGGTAGTCGTGATCTTTGTTTTCAGCTGCAGCCCTGCCGCGTCCTGTGGCTTGCAATGTAATACTCTATCATGAATTGCAGACTACAGACCTGGAAACAGCAATTAGCGCACGGAAAGAAAACTAAAATGCAAAGACTTGACTGCTGAAGGGGAAAAAGTTACTAGCCAGAAACGAAAGGAAAATTCCACACACACTTTTCTTCCGCTGTCAAGGTTTTCAGCTGCACAGCCAACGGCAGGGAAAAGAGGAAGGAGGAGAAGCAACAGCAGTTTTGCTTGTTTACACCAAGTCTTTGCTGCAATGTCTGTTCCTGTAGGCCAAGGTTTTCTTGTGGTATCGAACAGTGTTCTTGGAGGCAGTGGCAAAGTTCAGTACGCAGCATCCCCAGGCAGGACTGGAGAAGCTTCCCCTAGTCCGGGGGTCGGCAACCTTAACCACTCAAAGAGCTATTTGGACCTGTTTCCCACAGAAAACACCGGGAGCCACAAAACCCTTTTGACGTCTAAAATGAAGATAACACTGCATATATCATTTTTTACCTAAAAAAACCCAGACTTGTAAACCAGTTTCGTCAGCAGTGAAAGCGAATGAATCTGCTCATGTACCATTAAACGTTCTGTTCTGAAACTTTTCTTTTTTTGGATTTATCCATGGTTGGCCTACGGGGGGTCGAAAACTCAATAAATCGCGTGCCAGCGGGTGTCACACATTGGCGGTTGTGACGCATATTTTGAGCGACAGGGAGTCGCAACAGAGGGATGAAAGAGCCACATGCGGCTCCGGAGCCGTAGGTTGTGGACCCCTGCCCTAGTCAAAAGACTAGCAATCCTGTCGCATCCATAGTCCTGGAAACAGATACGCTGTTTGCATCTATGGCTTTCCAGTCATTTCCCAACGTATCCCAGACCTGACCTTTTGGAGCACATGGAGAAAACTGGTGCTTACCTGGAAGGATTAATCTGAGGGTGATCATGACACCAAAAAGAGAGGATAGCTTTGCATGAAATTTGCTGGTGTTCATTTAGATGGATACGAATTTGGGGAAAAAAATGCAAAAAATTGAGAGCTGCATCTCAACACAGGGTAGGCAACTGTGACCAGGTCCTAACACCTGCTGGCTGAATGAACACAAGGGACAGGTGTTACACAAAGGCAGAAGGACACGGTTTTTCCATGTGCTACTCATTACACACTCCAGTCTTCATCTGCAGAAATTAAGATCCCCTGGAGTAAGGAAGCTTGGAGGACGACCATGAAGTTCAAAGTCTTCTCAGTGGTTCCACCCACCTTGAGGAATGCTTAGCAAACCAAGATTCACCAGGCTCTTTCAGTAAAACATTCCAGTGGCTCTTGAGCAGCTTTTCCCCTGATGCTGAACTTATGTTTATTGAAATTTGTTGGTAGCTGTCTGGGAAGTTTGCTTCTTGCAAGGGCTGGGCTGACCGGACATTCTGGAATGCATTCCTCCATCTACTTATCTTATCTACTCGCATTTGCACACTTTCGAATGCAAGGTGGGCAGGCGCTGGGACGGAGCAAGGGGAGCTCACCCTGTTGTGCGGATTGAACCGGCGACCTTTCGATCAACCAGCTCAGCAGCACAGCAGCTTAAACCACTGCGCCACCTGCAGTCCCTATTCCTCCATAGGGTTGCTAATAGGTTGATGGAATGTAACAGTAAAATATTTGGAATTTTGGGACTGATTTGAATGCTACACAACGTGGATCGTTTGCTTCCTGGAGTTCCCCTTTGAAGGAGACAGAATACCTGTTTTAGAAACTAATTCACCAACTCTGAATGGACAATTCCGAGTCCTTTGCCTGCTCTTCTGTCTTAAGGGATCTTTTCCTTTAAACTCGATTTGGACTGAACCGTGTTTCAAACAGAGCGGGGCTTGTAGCTCAGAACTAGAACAACTGCTCAGCCTTCAGAAGGTCTATGGTTCAATTCTGAACATCTCCAGTTAGGACAGGAAGAAATCCTTCCTGGGATGTTGTTGCTGTCACCATCAGTGCTGACCAAACCAGGCTCGATGGACCAGGGTAAGGCAACTTGCCCTGTTTCCCCAAAAATGAGACCTAACCGGAAAATAACCTCTACACCTAGCAGGATTTTTCAGGATGCTCATAATAAAAACCCTCCTCCAAAGAATAAGCCCTGGTTAAGATCATCAGCCAGACAGACACCTTTAGTCTGTCCGTTGCAACACAATTCAGGGTTTGGAGAGTTAGGACGATGTTCCAGAAGATGACATGACTGTATTTAAATAAATGTAGATTTTTGTACATGAATAAATGTAGATTGTTGTACATGAAAAAATAAGGCATCACCTGAAAATAATCCCTAGTGCTTCTTTTGGAGGAAAATTAATATAAGACTTGGTCTTAATTTCGGGGAAACACAGTATTACTTTCCTATGCCTTCAAAGGAAAGATTGTCCTCCACACAGCACGATCCATGTCCCCGCTAGCTTGCAACTAGAAGGCAAACCCAGCAAAAAGCAGCCCAGTTTGTAGAACGAGTCATTACTACACTGCATTTATTATATTTGCAAGGGACCCCAGGTAGCTTGTTGTTGTTGCTAGTTGTGAAGTTGTGTCCGACCCAGGTAGCTTCCAAGGTTCTTTTCTCCAGTGTATCCTTGCAATGACGAGCCTTTGGGGTAGGCTAGGCCAAGAGTCCATGGGCTTCATGGCTAGGTGGGACCCGGTGTTCCAGGCCACGCTGCAGGACCCTGGCTTTTGTCTACGCTCTAAAACAGTAGTGTATCCTAAAACTTCACTCATATGAACTGTGCCAAGGAAAGAATGACAGCTCATGGAAACGTCATGGACATCACCAGACTGGGAAAAAACACCTCATGGACTCTTGTGAGATGCTTTGGTTGGGCCCTGTTAAAGAGATTGCTGTACTAATTTTTGTGTGCTTCGGAAAAACCATGCTCAGCTGTCCCGAAGCAAGATGTTTAATCTTGATAAAAATGATATTGGCCCAGCTTGAAGATGGTTCTGAACTTGAAGGAGGCGAGAAATAAATCCTCCAACCACTGCATAGTACAAACTCAATTCTACCCACTAGGCAGTGCTGCCAAGCTTAGCTACACTTGACTTTTCCTTTACAAGAATTTTAGCCAATCCTTGAGGAGACCCCAAGGCAGATTACAGTATTCAGACAGATAATCAGAATATAAAATATAAAAGCTAGGCTGCACTAAAACAAGCCAATGAAGAACCAGTTCACAAGTCAACAGTTACGCTGACTTTGTTAAGACCAACATCTTGCCTGCAGGCCTGCGTTTTGACATACTCCTGGAGGCAAAACTGAGTAAGGACCAAATAATGGGCTGGGTCCAGATTTTGTCATATTTAGAGAAGACCCATTTGAACCCAACTTGAATTTGATTGATTTCAAAGGTCTGAATACCTGATTTGGTTCACCACCGTACAACTCGAACAACATAATCCTATCCAGGTCAACCTATTGCTTCTTACTCCGAAGTAAGTGGAGGCAATGCAGCAAAGGTTTGGGCTGGCATGGAGTGCATCTCCTCCTGTCCTGCCTTTGGTCTCGCTCAGCCCTAACTAAACACTTGTGGGAAAAGGAAATTTTGCTCTTGATTTTGGGATATGCTCCTCCTCCTCCACTCCTTCACACCAACTCTGCCCTCTTGGAAAACCAGTCAATCATATTAATTGAAAGTCCGGTATAAAAAGCTACTCATCATGAGGAATAGGCCGCAACTGGGAATTTCCTCAACCAGGAATAAGCTGTTTTGAGATGAACAGGGTTTGTCTACTTAAAGCATGTGTCAAAAGCAGATTCCTCAGGGATTTGAGAAAAGTTGGGTTTCTGTGCGGGCGTGTTCAACAGAAGCTGAATTGCATAGCGCAGCATCTGTCTCTTTTGTTAGTGCGAAGAACGGTGGATAGTAAAAGAAACTTGATGTCTTTAAAGCGCAGCTTAGAGTATGGGCTCAAGCTGCGACCAGAACATCACTACCAAAGCGGGGCCGGTGGATTCAGATGAATCTTGAAAAACGCGACACAACTCCTAGAAAGAGCAGGCGTGCCCCGAAACAGCACAGAAATAAGGTGGCATCCAGGGGACGCAAAGCTATGTCCCCATGCTGTGGTGCCCTCCCACCCCCCACAAAATGCTCCGGTTATTAAAAATCAACATTGATGCAAAAGGAACATTATCAATACCATACTCAGCCTGGCTTCTGGTTTAAAAAAACGGGAAAGGGAGTGGAACATCTCACTTAAGCCCTTAAAATTTATAGCAGCCCAGAGAAAGGTGTGGATCGAGAGAACCTGGAATAGCAGCAACCCCCGGACAGAATGAGAAAATATTAAGATTTGGCAGGATCCAGCTGTGACCAAGACATCCAACTTCGACTTATTTTCATTTTTCGCCATGACCCATCTTTGAGGATAGTTTTCAAACTGTGCTCAACAGTTAAGACAGGAGCACAGAGAATTTGAAAAGGAAGTCGTAGGGCAGCAGCTGCAGCGATGCCGCTCCTGAAGCCGGGAAACAGCCCGAGCGTGTGTCTGCGGGGCGGGAAGGGAATGAAAAGGGGTCTCAAGGTGGCCGTACCTTCTGAATTTAGAGGCGTCCTGAGCTGCAAGCGTGTCTGATGCTTTCCACTCCAGCCATCGCTGCTGGTGTGCAGCAGCAGCAAGCCCGACTGTGGTCAGTTCCTCACAGAGGCTGTGAGCAAGCCCCCGGGTTTCCTCTTATCTGATGAGTCACCAAACCCGACATCCACCACGCAGGCTCGCACGGCAGGGCCATCCCGTGAACCACGGGGCTTCGACCGACTCGCAAGCTGGAGGCAGGAGGTTCGCTCTGACCAGCTCCCAAGCAGAACGTCGGGCGAGAGCACACGAAAGGGCGTTCCGGCCGCTGCAGGTTGAACGTGGGAGGGAGGGTGCGAGCTAGTATGGCCAGAGCGTTGCTCCGGGCTCAGCATCACACGCTCTGGCTGGCAACCATTCCCCAAGAATTGCAGCGAATGCTACGAGCGTCACTGTGCGAGAGGTGAAGGGAACGTGACCAGATGGCGTTTCGTCCGACACGGAGGCCCAGCTACTCACCTTTGCCCAAACCTGCAGCCAAGAAACAGAGTGCCTCTTCTCAAGCACGCCCAGTTGATGGTGCGCGGTTTGCGCCCGATCCAAATTTGCACGAAGAGGACCGCTTATGTGGGCTGGGGACTCACTTCGGTATTTGATATACGAAAGGGTGCAACCGGTGGGAAGAACCCTTAGATGGCTTGGGCTTGGAGACGAGAGGGGCTGCGAGTGAGCAGCTCTGAAGAACTACACTGTGGTTGCCACACTAGAACCGGGCAGCAAATTATTGCTTTCTTGGCCAGCTCTCTCACCCTTAACGGCACATACATGCCTTCCCCTTAATTTCTGCAAGCCGCCACAGCTGACCTGAGACGGGTCCGCTCAAATGCGTGTGCATGCGAAGCCAGAGCAGGCTCCTGCGGCAGAGGACGCAGGCCAAGACCCGAAGAACCAGCCGCGCGGAACCTTCCGGCAATGCACCGCCACCCCATGAAGCAAGTGCTTCCCTCTGTCCAGCCGTCCAGTTCACACTCTTGCTTTCCTGCTGAGATGGTGGCACACAAGGCCAGGCCTGGCTATTACAGGAAGCTCCAAAAACTACAGACAAAAAGTTAATAGAACATAAACCAATTACTTAATGTTTTCTTTATTTAAAAGATCATTCACAAAATACCATATCCATAAATTTACTTTTGTCATGAAGCAGAATGTGTTAAGTGTTTGGAAATTTATCTTTACACATTTAAAAATCAAATGGATTGACTAGAAGTGAGCCTTGCCTGGAAGTCTTGTTTTTGCTCTTAAAATCTTGGTTCTTCTGCATTCAGAAGTGAAGAGAGGTTATGGGATGGATTTTGTTTGGAACACAACCACACAGATACACAATGCATGTCTTAAAGAAAAACAGTGTTAGGCAAATGGTTCTTACTGTCTGAAATATTTTCAGACCAGTGGGAGGGGCAGGGAAAGAGAACAGATCTCCTCAGCACATTGAGATTGGTTTCACACTACGTCCAAGGTAACATCCGTTTTGCTTATCTAGAGGGATGTTGTCTTTGGCTATTAATTTGCAGATTCCTTCCTCACAGGGTGATGCTGGATATGCCTTATTTTAATGAGAGAGGGACATTCCTGTCACATTCCTGCCTCGGTCCATTCCACTTTCTGTATCGAAGTCACAATCGGACATCCTAATTTTGATGCCAGGCTCTGCAGGTGTTGTCGTGTTGAGCACTGGAATCTGGGCATGTGAGAAGCCGGCATGCCCTCTTCAAGTTGGCACAACTGTTCAGCATTCCCTTCCCTGAACCTGGGTCTCTCTATCAACCCCTTTCCAGAAGAATTCATCAGGTACAGAGAAATAAGGGCAATGGCTAATTACAGAAGAGCAGAAACCTGGCCTCTGTACCATTAAGATACCAACTTGGGCTTCCACAATCCAAAGAGACAGCCCCTCCAACACAGAAGGGAGTTTTAAGCTAACCAAGAAAACAAAGCCAGTGGGGACAGAACCAAATGCCCGAGTGGCGAGTTCAGACACCATTTCCTCAAAACAGAACCCCCGCAAAAAAGAAAATAAATGTTATTAGTTTAAGAAACCAGTTTAAAAAGCCATTAGCAAACATGTCTTAAAAAATGCAAGAAAAAGCTGGAAGAGACAGACCTGGGTGCTGTGACAGATGCAAGCTCTGACAGCACTGACCTGGGAACAAAAGGGAGATTTACGCTGCCCGAGAGGAGAGCAGAGGACACGCATCTCGAGTTTGAAGGCGAACTGCCGGCGCGCGGCCTCAGCTTCAGGAACAGGCCCGGGCAGTGCTGTCAGCGCTTGAGCTGGCAGCCTCTCCTTTCTCTGGAGGCTGTTTTAAACTTTTTTCAGCTGCCTTGCTGGGGAAGCACTCACTATTTATATTCCAAAGTGCCTAATGGCTAGAGATGGTAATTCTATTGGACTCTGTGTTGCATATGCTAATTCTACAGGGGCCTTATTCTAAGATGCTATGATGTCTTCCACTCGGCCGAGACTCTTCTGAGTGGAGGGCCGTTGGGGGCGGCAAGCATGCAGCAGGTGCGGACGCACCATGGAAGGCGGGAAGGGGCAAGATGAGGCAAGGCTGAAGCCGTGCCTGACGTGTCTAGAAAGGAAAGGGCCAGAGAGAAAGAACAAGGTGGAGCAGCACCCCTGTTTAGACAGGTCCACATCTGTGGAAGAGCGCAGCACTCGGCCGGCCAGAAGCCCCGTGCCAGGATTGAGATGTGGGGGGAAACCGAGGGAGAAGCTGAAGACAACGCAGGCACTAGATACAGCAAAGCCAAGAACGTACTAAAAACCACTTGTTAACAGTTGACATGCATTCACAAGCTCTGGTTTGTCGTCGTTGTTTTCTTCCGTTTCTGTTTCAAGGAGGACAAGTGTTAGATGGTCAGGAATGGTGGCCGCAGGGTTAACGGGCTTAGCACAGTTAGACGCTCCAGGCTGCCTTGCCTTTCCTCCCAAGCCCACCCAGTCCCGCCCTCGATCCCGTCCCCACCCTCTTGCCCCTCCAGCTCAATCCTGCTCCGCCTTGACGGCTTCCTCCCGCGGCTTGGCTCCACCAAAGATAGCAGAATTGGGGTTGGCTACTTGGTTGAGAGGCGTGGCGACTGTCCGGGGCTTCAGCTGGAGTCGGGGCCGCTGGGCTCTTTCCTCTGCAAGAGAAGAACCGATTCAGCGTGAGGAGCCGTTCAAGCCCTCTCACTTGCCTGTGTGGCAGGGTGCCTCACGGGCTGGCGAATCGACCGGGCACCGTCGGCCGTCACAGGCGGGAGTTCACCAGGAGCACCACGGGGCCCCCAAGCTGGCACATGAACTGATGCCTAGCACATGCTTTGCCTCCAGGAACACCAGCTCAGGCCTTCAAAGCCATTCAGACCCTCACTGGTACTGCCTTCCCCACCGATAGCAGGCCTGGGCTTGTGCTTGCGGGCTCTGCGCGCGCGCGCGCGCACACACACACACACACACACCAGGTGTGCAAGCTCCAGTCTGCAGAGGGTGATGCCACAAGGGCAGCAGCATCATCAAGTCGGCTTGACAAGACACTGCTGGATTGCGCAGGCAAACGTCCAACGCACCGAACTAGATGTGGGTTCTAGCCCCCGCTCAGCCAAGGAGCCAACTGGGCCAGGCACAGACACTCAGCCTAGGCTACCTCGCAGGGATGCTGTTGTGAGCGGAAGACTGCGACCGAGAGGAAGAGAACGATGTAGGCCGCTCTGAGTTCATTATAAGAAAAAAAAGCAGGATCTCCATAATGGCTGTCATCATCTTGCGTTTGCATCCCACTGTTGTTCTTGCAAGGAAGCCAAGAGAGCTTGCAGGAGTCTCCTCCTCCCCAACCCGCCCTCACAGCAGCAGCCCTGGAGGGAAGTCTGGACTGCGAGTGGCCAGCTGCCCAAGGTCACCAACAGAGCTCCGTGGCTGAATGGGGACAAGAGCCCAGGTCTCCCAGGCCCACCGCTCTGAGGCCTGCATACATGCAACGCTACAGTCGCTCTTGCAGGCGGGACTGAGGCCGGCTCGGCCCCTCCCGTTTCTTCAGCCTGAGCACAATGCCGCGGCCACCCTTGACCGGTTCCCTCCGATTCTTACATAGTGAGGCAGGAGTGATGCAACACCCACCTTCAGCGCAAGCGATCCTGCAGCTTAGTCTGAGCAGAAAGACCGCTTGCTCTGAGGCGGCAGGAAAAGGGATGTGGGCGAGCAAGCACGTTCTGCGGTGCTGCACACCAAATAGCCGGCTATGAAGAGGGCCATCAGCACAAGTCCTCGCCAGACTGGCCCGGCCCGAGGCTGCCATCTAGTGACGGAACGGTGTGAAGAGGCCTTCTAAGCAGCACCTTTTCCCCAAGGAACAAGGCCAGCAGCTGCCCACACGGATCTTCTCCACCTGGAAAACACTGCTAGTGGTACCCAAGGTGGGCAGGGGGAGAACCAACCCTGGTGGCTGAAAGTGCAGTCTTAAATGGTCCTACGCCACAGTGACGTCCTGCTAATGCGTGCCCAGTAATTAGTCAAACCGTGACACCAGGAGGATACAGACCAAGACGGGCAGGTGAAGAGGCGGGCTGGCTGAAGCTGTTCCTTCGAGAGGCCTGCAATTAACTGACTGCTGAGATCCGAGGGCCAGCTGGGAGCTAGCCCGGCTTTCACCAAGCTGAGAAACCACTGCCTGAAGTTTTCGTACAGGTGGGGACGTGCCTGAGAAATGCTCCTGCAAATTTGAATTTGTTGCACCAAACGGGATTAGCTACGGCAGCAGTAAGCAGCGTTTCAGCAACCGAGGACGGCATCACCGTGGCTTCTGGGCAATGCTGCGTGCAAGGTGTCTGCCGCGATGTGCACAGAATATCAAAATAAAGCATTCCTCTCCTTAGGATTACAGTTTAATATACCAATTGGCACATGAGTGGATTGATTTAATCCAGGCAATGGCCCCAGTTCCTACACAGAGAAAAATACAATGGCAGGAACAAGCCTGTGTTTTCGCTTGACGCCCGAGCCTTTTTCTGTGTAGGAGAATGTTGGTGTGGAGCAGTTCCATCTTCCATTTACCATCAACTGTCCCACACAACACAACTTTAATGTGGCTTGGCCACCACATCAACAAGCTCGAGCCAGGGTGGGCAGGAAATTTAACCCAACGTGTGCTGCACAGAAACCTACAACAGGAGGAAAGCTCTGGAGAGAACACGCTACTCTGAGAGAACGTGAACCGAGCCCCGAGCTTGCCTCCTGTCTGGTATTTGCACAACACACCTGCAATTCCCAACTCGGGCGTCCTACTAGGGAACCACAGAACTGGAAGGAACAAGGGAAGTGAGCCAGTCCAATTTCCAGCTCCATGGTTCCTTGGCAGTGGGCCAAACTAACTGCAGCAAAGACGGAAGCCATTGCCTCTCAAGGCCACCCACTCCACCGTGAAGTGCCTCTTGATCAGGTAGTGGGGACCTGTCACACCGGACAATTCCTCTGGGCTAGAATGAGGGACAGTGTTCATCCATGCTCAGGGCCAGGAAATGCTGAGGCTAGGCAGTCGAATTAGGACTGGAGAGATCTAGCGTCTAACCCCTGCTCAGCTTGCTGGGTGACACTGAACTGCAAAAAGGACCTTGGGAGGACAAAACCGGGTGGAGGAAGGCATGCACACGGTGCCCTGAACTTGGGAGGAAGGATGACGAAGAAAAGTTAACCGCTGCAGCTAAACTGACATGCCTGTCCAGGCTCGATGTTCAAAGCTGCAGGCCTCCAACCAGCATTAGCAGCAGCATGTGGGGCGCTTGGGGCGCTTCTGAGCACCGGACATGAGAGGTGGGCATGCGTGTTACACAATGGCACTCCACTAGACTGCAGGGCAGGAGGGCAGCAATGACCCACTAGCCCATGACACAGGGGGCCTACCTTCCGTCGGTTCTCTGAAATCCATGGAAGACCCACGCATGGGAGGGCCATCCCTGAAGCGCCCGGTGCCCCCCATGGGTGGACCACCGCCTCCTCGCCGATCTCCGGGACGTGTTCTCCCTCTGCCCCCCAGAAAGTCGTCATCTCTGAAGCCTGTGGAGAGAGAGGCAGCAGTCAGGGGCCGTCCCTGGGGTGCCTCGCGCCCAACCCTCAGCATCTCCGGCTCATGTGATTGTCGTGCGAAGCCAGTTTTAAAACATCAGCCAGGCACTTGGTTCCCCAGGATGCAGAAATAGTTAAAAAACAAACACCAGAGCGCCATAAGCTCCCATCAGGTCTGGATAGGAAATGAGTCATGCTACAAGCAGACAGAAAGCTCCTCCGTATCCAATGTATGCAGCTCAATACAGAAGTACCAGCTCACTTGACCAGTCGATCCTACGGCTTTGCCCTTTTGTCCCGAGTGCGTCATAACCTTGTGTCTGTACTTGGACTTGTACTCTCGTTTTAATGGACTCATAAATGGCCTGAGATTGAAAGTTTGTCTCAAAAGAAGGTAGAGCTTACTTCAGCAAAATGAAAAAAGAGCAGAAATTCAAACTTGGCAGCAGCAGTGTTCAGACAACCTGGAACAGTCCCAACAAGATTCTTCTCCTTTCACGGACTTGCAGGTTTGGAGCAAAAGTCTCACTTCAGGAACAAGCTGCTCTAACACTACTGTTTAGTTGCTGAAAATGTAACTACCAGAGGGGTTCCTGAGGGCTGTCAGGCTAGCGGTCAATCCCTAATGTAACTAATTGGGATGGAGGCTCTTTTCTACTCGCTACCACACCCATGACTGTGTAAAAATACAAAAATTTTATTTAGAGAATGGATTCTAGGAGCACAGGCTTTTCGAGGGAAGGATAAAAATGTGATGCCCAGGAGGAGGACTAAATACAGGGAAAGAGCTGCCCAGGTTCACCAGGAGCAGGACAGCGGAAGGAAGAAGGAACCCCGAGTGCACGCATTAGCTCAGAGCCCCCAGCCAGCACAGAACGCCTCCAGCACGAAGTAAAAGGCGGCACAGCACATGGATCACGCAGAGCCCAACTTCGACGACGACGACGACAGGGCAGGCTCGCACATGGCTGGCAGCCCCAGGTACTGGCCTGCAAAATGGGGGCGCCAGCCTTCTCACAAGGCTGCACCGCCCAAGATGCTGCGGCGTGGTACATAGGGAAAGGCGCACGGGCCTAAACCTTCCCCTCTGAGCAGCATCTGCTGGGCATGCTGAGTGTGCTCAGAGGCAAGGGAATCCCGCAGCCTGAACAGAAACAAAGCTGGGTGCCAGTGCTTGTGTTTTCCTTCCCGAAAGTGATCCTTTTGAGTTCAACAGAAAGGCAACCTTGCCCAGGATTTGTTCACAGCTTTCAGAGGAGGAGGTGGGCGCATAAGGTGCCCCCATCCACGTTCACCCGGGGAACCTGAAACTTTAGCAGCAGAACAGCTGGATATACTAGAAAGAAAAGCACACGCCTTGGGGGGTACTTTGCACAGCAGATCAAGTTAGGTTCTTTCTAAAGGTGATCCAAATCAAACAGATGTGCACTTAGATCTGCCCAAAACACTCTTTCCACCTCCAAGAAATCTGATTTTTGTCTCAGCGCCTAGCCACAGATGCCGACTTGGCCTCAAGAAAACAGCGGACACGCTCGTGGGGAAGTGTCCAGATAATGCCTCGGAATTTTGCCTTACTGGTCAACCAGGATGCTTTCTAGCCACTTGCAGAGCAGGATGTATGACAGAGGGGGGCACAAGGAGATTATTCAAAAGGAAGGCTGGAAGAGATTTCAGTAATATATAAAAGTAGAAATACTGCTACCAGAACCGAAGTCATCTCTGGAATCCCAGCCACCTCCTCGCGATTCCCGCGGACCTCCGCCCATGCCTAAAAAGAAAGCCACAATGCAAGGGGGGGTCAAAGGGGAAAGCAGGAATTCACGCAGCATGGTCCACATCCGTTCAGGTGGGAAGGCCAGTGCTACCCCAGCCCAGCCCTCACATCCTCCAAACAGCAGGCCATTGTGTTCTGCAGGAGAACTCAGAGGTGGGGCATGGAGGCCTTGAACAGGACAGAGCCTCTAACGCTCGGAGGAGGAGGAGGAGGTTTGTCTAGGCCTGGACAGCCACGGGGCGACCTGCGAAGTGCCAGCACAGGGAGGAAAGGCCAACGCTCGTTTCAAGGTTGCTTTTCTTCTTCCCCTGAGCTGGGCCACACTGGAAGCTGGTACGATGGAAGCCACAAAGCCCACCTGATATTTCAGTTGCTATTTCCGAGCAGTCGACCTCGTGACCAAGAGAGTTCCCCCAGCAATGAGGAGCAGCACCAGCAAGTCCAACACTCTTGAGAGGACCAAACCCAAGGAAGTGTTGTCACTCTAGTCCAACAGTTCTATCAGCCAGGAATTACACTATCTTTAAAGTATTAGCTGCAGCGTTGGTTCCATGATTTCAAGAAACCAGAGATGCATATATTTGACTGACTTGTTTTCAGGAAAGTCTAGTAGAAGCAGCTTGGGGCATGCTGCCTCCTCTTCTTTTTCTGAGAACCCCAAATTGGTAACCAAGCTTAGATGAGGGGTAGACAGAAAATCAACAGGACTGGCTGGCAGTTCTGGGTAGCTTGCAGAAGATTTCCAAGGGTTTCTGATTTTTAATGAGAGCAATGGGGGCGGGGGGGGGGGAGAACCTGCCATGCAATGACTGGCCATGTGCGGTTTCTCTCTTTAAACTGGTCTACGACCATAATAAAATTGATTAGAATGACTTTTCCCTCTCAACCCCATTGCTCTTCATTGGTAAAAAAATAACAATGTCAGAGAATCGCAGTGTCAGAGAATCACAGAATAGCAGAGTCAGAAGGGGCCACCAGGTCACTGGGCCCAACTCCCCACTCAACGCAGGACCCCAAGTTGAAGCTCCCCCAGGAGTGGCTGTCCAGCTGCATCCTGGAGGCCTCCAGGGTAGAAGAGCCCATCAGCTCTCTAAGTCTTTGGCCCCACTGCCGTACTGCTCTAACAGTGAGTGAGTTTTTCCGGCAGTCAGCCGAAACCTGGCTTCCTGCAGCTTGAGCCTGTTATTCCGCATCTTGCACTCCAGGATGATCAAGAAGAGATCCTGTCCTTCCTCTCTGTGACAGCCTTTCAAGTACTTGCCATCCTGTCTCCCCTCAGGCTAAACATGCCCAGTTCTTTCCATCTCTTCACAGGGCTTTCTTTCCAGCTCCTGGATCATCCTTTCTGCCCTCCTCTGAACCTTTTCCAGCTTGTCTGCATCTGTCTTCCATGGTGGTTCCCACAACTGGACACGGGACTCGGGGTGCAGCCTAACCACATCTGAGCAGAGGGGAGCTAGTCCACCATGTAGGTTGGAAGTGATCCTTCTATTAATGCAGTCCAAAGGAGCATTTGCCCTTTTTGGCAGCCACATCACATTGCTGGCTCCTATTCAGTTCCTGGGCTACAACAATTCCAAGATCCTTCTCAATTAAAGGTACTGCTGAGCCAAGTATCCCCCATCTTGTAACGATGGATTGGGTCTCTTTTTCCTGGCTGCAGAAGCTGGCATTTGTCCTGTTAAATGTTGTTCTGCTGATTTTGGCCCAGAACTCCAACCTATCTAGATCACTCTGACTGTCCTTGTTCAGCCATCCTAGCCAATTTTTAAAGGATGTGTTGGAATCTCCGATGTATGGTAACATCATCATCACTGCACATGCCAGTGTTTGCTTAATGAGGGTGCAGCAAGCAACTGAATTTACCCCGAGCCAACATGTGTCTGGCTCAGGCTGGCAGTGTTCTAGTGTAAAACAAAGCCAATTCCACACGCCTGAAGCCTGCCCTCATTAGCCTTAGAAGAACCCCACGGTGTATTATTTTTCTACTACAGGTACCTCTGCCTACCAGAACACATACAGTTGTCCAAAGAAATTACAGTTCTACAGTCTTCTATACCTTGCTGTGTATGGCTAAAGCTCTTGAGGAGGAGAGTATGGACGGATTTAGGATGCAACACCATACATATTTAGACAGGAAAAAGGGTCTCAGAGCTCCCAGAATTCCCCAGCCCCCATAGCTGGATGGGGTGTGCTGGGAGTCACAGGCCCTTTCCTCTCTGAACATGTTCAGAATAGCGCTACAAGCTTATGAAAAGAACCCAGTGACTAGAAATATGCTTTGGAAAAAAGCCACCTTGATAACCTGCTTGCTCCTATTTTAGAGACTCAAAATATGCCATGTTTACCTTGTCTTCCTAAACAATATGCCTAATTTAAAATGACTTAGAATAACTAGCACACGCCAAAACCTCTCCATTCCAGTGCTGGCCTCCAGGCTGGGGCGGGGGGGGGGGGGGGGACTCTGAGAGGCAAGAGGGCCAAAGAACAAGGCCTTGGGGGCTGCATGTTGGACGACCCCAATATAAGAGGAACAGAGAACAAGTTTGCTCCATCCCCTAAACGACCATCCCTCAAATATTTGACACCGGCTCTCCGGTCTCCTCTGAATCCGGTCTTCTTTTATTTCTAGTGACAACCATTTTGCTTTTACTATGGAACCCCTGAGGATCAGTGCCAAGGATTAACCACTCTGGGCCCTGGCCTTTCATTCCAGCCTGCTTCAATTTTTCCCCTAAGGGCCTTAAGGATGTGAAACTGCTCCTTCGAACTCATCTGCCTGGCTTGAAGCTGGCTTAGCATGTCTTCTTGTGTCCTGCTGGGAGGAACGCCCACTGTGCCCTGGCCAGCCCTTCAGATCACATGCACTACATGCCCGTTCAAGGCAGTGCGAGGGGTAAGAGCAACCATTTAAAACATCACCTCTGTCTTCTGGGCCGCCACCTTTTCTGAAACCAAAGCCGCCTTTGTCTTGTTTCCTGCCCTCAGCTATATCCACTCGGAGCGACCGGTCACCAAAAATCTGTTCGGTGGGACGGAGAAAGGAAAACATTTACGCCTTGCAAAGCAGAGCTGCAACCATTCTTTAAATGCTGTTTCACAGAAGTCGTGTACTTACCGCTCCATCGTATGTCAGAGCTTCTTTAAGTGACTCAACTTCATCAAATTCTACATAACAAAATCCTGTGAAACAAAGGAAAAAATATAGTCTTATTGATTTTTTTCCTTCTTGGCACTGAAAAGTAGGAAGTTTTTTCCTACTGGAAAGTTGCAATCTAAACTCAGCTGGTATACAGGTCGGGTTGTCTACAGATCAAGGGACAGCTGGTGAATTGGGGGTGGAGGAAACCACATGCACAAACAGGGCTACAAGGGAATTTGCCTTCTTGAGTGCCACCAAACAGTTCCCAACGGGGTCCCTGGCTGCTTGAAACAGCACACCTGAAGGGCTGCCCGCTCAGGCAAGCCCCCACACCCAAGAGCTGAGATTGGAGGCCATTCTCTTGGTGGCAGGGTCTGCAGTGTTTGGTGGGCGACTAAGAAAGGGTGTCTATTTTGTCTGCAGCTGCACCCCAATTATGGAATTTCACCCTACCCCATTTTGCGGGGGGGGGGGAACCATCTAGCAATGATAGCACTAGCATTTTAGGCAGCAGGCAAAGTCTCTCCTACTTACTGAGGCTCTGGGTTTCTAGTCAGATCCCTTGGATCTACAGGATTCTGTGTTGCCCCTCCCACACAGCTTGCTTGGTGTAATACTGTTTCAAGCACTGCAATATCATTCAGTACAGTATTCTGCACTGTTTTTACCACTGCTTCTAGGCATTCTGCGCCCACCAATCGCACTCTGTCCTCACTGGGCTGCTCTGCAGCAGGGGTGGAGCTGTCCACTTAGCTCCCCTCCCCAAATGTTTTTTGTACTCCGCAAGACTTGGGAGCTCCCCCGAGCACACCAACGCCTCTCAGCAGTGCTGCTCTAGCTACGCAGACGTGGAAACTCAGCCCCCAGCTTTGCCACTAGCGGGAAATGATCTGAAGATGCTTAAGACAGCACACATACCATGAAAGGTGGTGCACCCTTGGAGTAAGACGGCGGCCACGCTCTCCAGACATAGCACTGAGGGGAGACAGACTCACCTACCTTTAAATTTATCTGTCTCTTTGTCTCTGACTAGGCGCACGCTCCTGATGTTAAGTTCTTTGAAGATGGCGTCAATGTCTCCTTGGACCGTGTTGAATGGGAGGTTGCCGATGTAGGCCGTGAAGGGGGGTTCTGTAGGCAGCTCCTTCTGCTTACGTGAGCTGAGGCCAGAACCTCCACGGGACCTGTGGGCAAGGACGGGATCGCACAGAGTCAGCGATGTACACGCCATGTAAAATCCATTCTGGCTACATTCCACAGATGGGGGACCTTCTGTTCCAGGTCGACTCACTGATGGAACGGGACTTTGCACCAATGCATCTGCACTAACTCACACAAAAATTCACACCCCCTGAAAATGCATAAATCCCTGGGAAAGGTATTTTCACACTTCAGTCTATGGGAGAAAAATACACCTTTGGGGTGGTTTTAAAAATGTGCCATTATCTCTGTATGAATACACTGACATAAACTTATGGAAAATAAAAACCAGTCCACAAATCCACAGAACTCGGCAGAGGTCAGAAGCTGGAATCACAGAAATGTATTTATTTAAAAACTTATTTTCCCCTATATTGGTGCAAAGGCTTTCTACACAGATTACAAAGCCAAACTCAAATTGGGACTGTGAATTGCTCTGTCAAAGGACTCCCTGAAGGATCAAGGGATGCAACCACATTCCAGTTACAGTGAAGCACATCTGTGTGTGAGGGCCACAGCAAGCGAAGCGGGGGAAAGCTGCTTTGCCATGCTACGCAGGTCCCACGCCAAACTTAGAGAGCCCTTGAGGCAGTGGTGGTTCTCTTGGAGCTTACAAGAAAGGCACAGCCAAGAGAGGCACATCTGGATGGGACAAGGAGCCGCCCTCTGAATCTATAAAACAGATTGCCAGATTCACTGTGACCACGTTTCTGCTCACAAAGACTGGGCTTTTATTTCTTTAAAGCAGTACTCTTTTAAGATGGGGGGGTACTGCTCACTCCCCACAGCCTCACGCAAAGCTCCCCACCCGCTATGGAGAACAAGGCCCATTTGCTGTGGAGTGGGAAGAACCCACGAGGCAAAGAGCCATGGGATTGGCTAGATGCAGTGGGTGCAGGCCCCCTCCATGTTTTGAGCTCCTATAATACCAGCCACAGCCAGTGTGGTCACTGATCAGGAATGCAGTCCAAAGCATCCAAAGGGTGCCAGGTTGGGGAAGGCTGGTCGAGAGGATGCAATTTTCAACAAACCAATGCAGCATTAACAGTTCAACACACTTGAATTCCACTATTAAAGGGAGAGGAAAAGGGAAACAGCCAAACATGAAGCACTGTTGTTGTTCACCAAGACAAACATGGAAAGACGGCAGCCCAAGATGATAGCATGTTCTCGCTCCAATTAATATGAAGTTTAGGTTTTGGAGAGGGAGGGAGGGAGAGGAGTCTAGTCTATAAGAAATATAGCACTGAGCAGAAGCTGGACATGATGTTTCTTGGACAAAAATCAAAAACAGAAATGGGCAATGACAAAGCTTTCCATGCCTCTTTAAAAATGTGTTCACCCCCTCCTCTTGTGGAAGGGCGTGTTTGTCCGTGCTCGCTGGGGATGGATAGATTAATTGTAATCAATATGCAAGCTTGATTACCTTGCATATTGATGCAATATGGCATATCAAAGTCAGAATACATAACATGGTAAACACATCCACGGAAAATTAACATTTTTAAATAGATAGGTATCTTGTTCTCGGCTCTAAAGTTATAAATAGCCTTTATTCCACCACTTCCTTACCTACATCTTTGGAGAGCTAATTATGATAGGCGGATTTCTGTGCAGAATGTTCTAGCAAGCACGGGCAGTGTCCTCTGAGGAGTGCGATCCCTTTGAGTTCTCTCTATATTCTCTTCCGCACCAACATGTAGTTAAATTTGCAAATGGTTGGGCTCAATTTAGATAAATCGTTAGAATAAGCAAGCTCAGCCTAGCCGACCGGAAAGACATCATTTTGGCTGCCTGACAGCACTACCTGGACGTCTGCCTAGGCCGTTCTGCACTGCTTCTGTATGAGCCTGGCAGGCTGAACAGGGTCCAGGGATGTGCATGGGAGGGATCGGACCCACCAGCACCGCAAGCCTCTAGTTACTCCAGGCCACCATGCTGATCAGGCGAAAAGAAACCAAACTACACATACAAGAACAAGGAATTAATATTCCTTGGTGGCACAAGGTTCAAATGCAATCGAGATATGCTAAACACTATAGCATGTGGGGCTTGTATAAGGAACCAACAGCATTTGATCACGTGATTCTTAAATCATATGAGAAAATGATCAAAAAACTGTACAACTTCCTACTAGATAGGGAGAATGGAAGATGAACAGGTTAAGGAAACTATGATAATGTGGGCACAAAACTTCGGATGTAATATTGAGTTAGAGAAATGGCAAAAGCTATGGGAAAGAAATATTAAAGTAACATTAGCAACTTCATACAAAGAAAACCTGTATAAAATGTTTTATAGATGGTATCTGTTGCCAAATAGGTTAGCTAAGATGTTCCCAAATATGTCAAATGGATGCTGGAAATGTAAACACAAATCAGGTACTTTTTATCATATGTGGTGGACATGTGATAAGGCAAAAAAATATTGGATTAAAATACACAAATGGCTGGAGGAAATGTTACAAAAACCTCTAACATTTAAACCTGAAGTTTTTTTATTAGGTATTGTACCTGACGATCTTAGTAAACAAGCAATGTATTTGACTACATGTAACCACTGCGGCGAGGATTGCACTTGCCCAACACTGGAAGAGTGAAGAGCCACCCACCGACAAACTGATCCTAAAAAAGATCTTGGACTGTGCGGAAATGGACAGATTGACTTGGTCTCTGAAGGAGAAAGATACAGACTTCTATCAAACCTGGGACTCTCTTTATCTATCATTGGCTAGAGAAACGGGACTTCGCATAGTCTTAAATATGTTTATAGTTTAACATAAAAAGAAAAAATGTGGGGGGCTGACCCAGTAGGTCTGATGTTTTTGATGATTGATGCTTTTTAGTTTTTTTGTGTCAGGTATACATTAAGAATAAAACTTATTCAAAAAAAAAAGAAAGATAGACAGACAGAAATAAATCAAAGTACAACACACCACAAAGAGCAGGACATGTAACACAGCCTGCGAGCACTTTGCTTCTGTTTGGGCACTTTTCTAACTCAAATGCTTTCCCTCTTTTCATCATCTTGCTTGATTCTTGAAATCCACCGCTCTTTGCACTCATGTAGCAGTTTCCTCGCAATGCAGCACCACTTATCTAAATGGATGCTACACTGGCAGAAGCATCATGCATTCACTTTGAGATCAAATCTGAACTTTGATTTCAGATTTTTTTTTAGAACTGGAAAAGTTGTTTGTGCAGGCTGAAGCTTAGTAGGGGGTACCTCCGTATCATGACTTGTGATGGAAAAACAGGGCAGACCTCAGATTTGCGGCATCCACTTTATTTCTAACGAGAATCCCCAGGCCCACCAATGTGAGCAAAATATTGGCGAAGTGATGGTGGGAGGCAGATACAAAATGGTGGCTTGTGCCACGGTGCCAGTCAGCAACTGCACTGTATGAGCCAGAAATAGGAAGGAGTTGAACAGAGGCAGACCTGCAGACAGAGCCCAAAACTGCCTGGCAGAACTATACAAAGATTGTTGAGGAGCACTGAAGAACACTGAGGCAGGCAATGAGCGCAAGACATTTCAGGACATAAGCTGCTGGGAGTCAAGTATCATTGCTGGGTTAACTGCAAGCTACCCAGAGGTCCGCCAGGAGACTTCTTGAGTGCCCCATTCCATACTGTACAAACAGCCTGCATGTCGCTACTAGTATGTCATGTTAGAACTGCCCGTCAGTATCTTGGCCATGAATGTCAACTGACAGAGCCAGGTGCTTCGGCTACCTTGTTCCAAGTATCTTTCAGGGTGATAGAGTGGATTTATGCACACGTATTTCAGAGTCTGTTCAGAAAGCTGATAAACACCATTTTATATCAGAACCAGGGAATGAGATGTGAACATTCATCCCATTATGCTGAGCATCCCATGCGCTCATGAAGCAGCGTGAACGAAAATACAAGGTTGCTCTAAGGTGGCAGAGGTGAATATGGCCTCAAATCTGTATGTTTAGGGTGCAGATCTTTCACATGGGAATAATTTATCACTTGTGGTACTTGAGCAGACCTTCCTGGCATCAGATTGCCTAGTTTGTTCTTTATAGCCTCTCTAGCATTTCCTGGTCTCCAGAGAAAGAGGGAACAAGTTTGCTCCATTTCCTATGTGACAACCCTTCAGGTATTTGGAAACTGATACCATCTCTCCTTAATCTTATCTTTTCCAGGCCAAACATACCCAAGCCCTCTCAATCATACTTCATGGGTGCTTCCAAGCCTTCATCTTCCTGGTGGCCTTCCTCTGGAAATGCTCCCATTTGCCAAACCTCTTAAAATATGGCTCACACAACTGGATACACTCCTCTTGCTGCAATCCTTGCGTGCTCCCTGGGAATAAATTTCCCCAAACACAGGGGAATAGCTTATACGTACAGGGTAGGCATTTGGCGTAAGCTTATACATAACCATGCACAGGGGTAGGCACTTGGCGAAGTGGCTTTCAAACCTCACCAAAGTCTTTGATGACCCACTGCAGAAAGCTTGTTTCAACAACAGATAGATTCTGGCACCCATTTTAGAGTGCATGTCTGGACCTACTAAATCCTTGCATTGCTTCTATACTTTAACCATTTTATCACTTTAATAGGATTGGGTAAGTTCCTATGTCTGTGTCGGCTGCTCTGGAGGTCCCTCCTAAAGCCAATTCTCCACATGGCCCGCTCTCCCACATGACTGCCCTCGGTAAGGGAGGATTGGCAGCTGCAGTGAAGGTGACAGAAAGCTTACTATTTTTGTTCTATCAGATTTCCTGAAGAATCCCAGGTTTTTCTGAAACACCATCTGAAAATTGCAAGGCTGCAATGTCAGGAAGGATTGTTTTCCACCAAGCAGAGATCAGTGTGAAGTACCCCACTGTTTCTTGGAGCACAAACAGATAAATCAGAGAACTTGGCTCTCAGGATTAGAAGATGCACAGAAACCTACCCAACCCTATGACCTTATAGTCTGGACGATCCTCCAACTGTAGCAGCCTGAATGCA